TTTTTGTTCTCTCCGATGGACAAGGCGACCCGGATGCTGCTCAGTTGTTTCCTTGCCGTGTTTCCTGAACTGCACAATGATTCTGTTGACTGTCGAAAGCGGGATTCCTAAATTCTGAGAAATATGCGGCTGACTTATTCCAAGTTGACTGCTTGACCAACTATCCTTCCTCTAACAAAATCTGACAATTCGAGAGAACCTTGAGTTCTAGGCATGTTGTAGCACAAGATAATTAGTGTGCGGACCATTTTCATTTATATAGTGCTCTGTGAACACAAATTAATTAGCATAAATCAGTTAAATGACGACAAATTAGGTGTCTATTTACTTGTGACCACTCAGTGTAGATAAGCTTGGCTGTAAAAAACACAATTATTACTTTATTGGAGAGTTTCTTGTGATTTTTAATCCTTAGTAATTGTCTATATGAATTATAAGCTGCGAAATTCTTCTTTTGGGAAATTTCAATAACTTTCATAAACAGAAATTTATATAAATGAAATTATCGTTTTTACAATTTTTTTTTTATTTAAATTTCAAGTAGAGGTGTATATCTGTCCAGAAATGTTATGTAGAGTTAAAGAAAAAAAAACTAAGAAGATTGCCATAATACTTCGTAGAAAAATCTCATTTTTACTGAAGGTTTCGCCTAACGACTAGTCCAAGAGCGTATTTCTGGAAATTACGGCACTCTACTCGTAGTCTACTGGTCGCGGGATCGAAACCCGTTGGTGAACTTGCTAATTCTTTCAGGCATGGGGCATTATATTGTGAGGTTCAATCCCACTACTTCTTACTAAAGAGTTGGCGGTGAGTGATATTGACTAGCTGTTTCCCTCTAGTCTATCACTTCAAAATGAGGGACGGCTTAGCGCAGGTAGTCCTGTGGTAGCTTTTCACAAAATTCAACAAACAAATCATCAGGATCGTTCTGTACAATTTCTCAAGTTTAATATGTATAGAGTACCGAAGTATTCAACGGATTTTTCTGAGATCACATGATCAATTTGATCATTTCCATGTTTGTCTTACTTTGTTTCGTGAGTCGAGTGTGGCTTATTGGTTAACGTGTCCGGACTGTGAATCAGATGGTTCATGTCTCATGGCCGTGCAATGGTTGAAGTGAAGGTGGGACTAGCCTCCTCCAGCTAAGAAAATCATTACGGAGAGCTTCACCAGATTTAAGGGATCAAGGAGAGTTGAAACAGCTAACTAATCACACGTAGGTGGTACGATTCTGGTTGTCAGCAAAACCTGTTGATTTTTTTCTCTCTGATATACAGTATATACATTATACACCCACTCCTCCCGATATCCATTTTAATCACTGGAGCCATGGATTCGTCATATGGATGATGGTCAGATCTCAATATTCCATTGGATAAAGGTAGTACAAGAGTTGACTGGTGCTTTTGACTACCAACTTTCCTTCTAGTATATCAAAAATGAAAATTAGAATTTGTTTGTTTCTAGTTAAGCACAAAGCTACACAATGGGCTATCTGTGCTCTGCCCACCTTGGGTATGGAAACCCTGTTTCTAGCAGACATACCTCTGTGTCACTGGGGGACAGAAGTAGAAGTATTATCTAGTCTAATTTTAGAGAGCTAAAAAAACTTTAACGAATAAGGTTAAAAAATACGCTCCGTTGGAGTGGAATTTATCAAAAGTCTCAAGAGACTTTCGTTTTCAGTTTTTTTTTGTTGTTTTTTTTCTTTCTCTAGCTTAACGTCACTGGAAGAATTTCTAGTTAAGATTAGATCCTTCAGCTCCAAAGAAAAACCAAATGAGGCAATTGGTGGATTGCCAAAGAAATCGTAATAGATCGCAGTAACACATCTTACAAAAATTATTGTTGCCTTACATCAGTGACAGAGAAGTTGGTACTTCCAACTGACGTGATAAATCAGGGGGGCAAAAATTAGGAACGTTTATGTTAAGAAAGTCATTTTGTGACGTTGGGGCCCCCCAGTGGCACAGCGGCATGTCTGCGGACTTACAACGCTAGAAATCGGGTTCCGATACCCGTGGTGGGCAGGGCACAGATAGCCCATTGTGCAGCTTTGTGCTTAATTACAAACAAACAAATTTGTGACGTTGGGCAAAAATTCTAAATAAAAAATTCTTTTAGCGCTACTATAATTAAGCAATGATGATTAAAGAGAAATGTGATTAATTAGGCGTTCTCATTGTTTAGATTGGAACGTGTTTTTTGTAAGTTTTAATTGATTTTTGGAGCATGACTGGTGTAATTGCACATTAGCTATGTCGAAAATATCAATTTTATGTTGATTATTTAAGACCTTTCGTAAAATATAAAAATTCCAACGGTTTTCATTATATGGATTTGTAGTCATAATAATAAACCTAAGACTTGAGTTTAATTCTAAATGTTCAAAACTTAATATGGACTTACAAAACGGGAAATGCGTGATTAGGCTGTCTGTATAGATGTAAATGAATAAAAACCTTGTAACCCAAGCGCTTTCGAAAGGTGGATCTTTCTTCTTCAGGGGCAAACTGAAGAAGAAAGGTCCACCTTTCGAAAGCGTTCGGATTATAGGGTTTTTATTCATTTCTATCAAGACTTCTTGAACCTACGTGTTTTTCTAACATGAGTGTATAGATGTAAACATAAAACATATCTATACCTTGTGTTGTCTTACTTACCTGTGTCTGATTTTTAATCCCTACAGTCTGAAGCCTTATATGATAGTCAGAGACTGTACAGCATCCTGGGATCCTGCGTATTCTATAAGGTAACTTTTAAAATGTTTACTATCAGAGTGTATTAAATACAAAATCCAAAACCTTGCCTGTCTTTAGTGTATTTTTGTAACCAACTATATTTTAGGTTGTTATTTACACATAACGTACTCTAGATGTATCCACTGTGTCACTTATTTCTTACTGTTCTTATGCGTACACAATTACTGAACTGTATATCTGCTCTGTTTCTGATACTGACAGTATTATTGTGTGTGTTTTTCAAAGGTTCTAATCACTACTTCAGTTTTAGGTTATCCGTCATGTGAGTTCATCTTGTTTTTTGCATTTCTCAGTTGCAGGATAACGATTACCAACATATGACGTAACTGTTATGAACTAGAAAGGAATTTTCTGCATTTTTGTAGGGCTATTTGCTAGGCAACCATCTTCCCAAAGAGGACCTGATGGATATTTACCTGTTTGTTCTGCACTATCAGCTGCTAAGCCTTATAGCTCAAGAACCTGTAGCTCAACTAGTGGTGTGGCGTGAGGTCTTCCCCAGTAGGAGGTTCCACAATCAACAGGAAGCAGAAACAGAAGAATTCAGGGAGCCAGATGGTCGATGGTTTCTCCTAGTGGTTGCTCTTGTAAGTGTGCCAAATAAAAAACATACTGTAATAATTAATTCCATTAGAGCTTAGAAATCAGAAACACATTACTCATTGCAGTATATTTTTTTTACTGTATGGAACACACTATGTAACCTTTGTTATAGCTTTGAAAATTGTTATAATAGCCACATGTGAGTTTAGAATTATATATATATATATATACCACTAGGAAGGAAGAATATTCCTCCTGAAACTTCCCAAAGTTTACCAATTTCAAGGAACATATAAGTAATGAAATATTAAAACTTTTTTCTTATTCGGTATTTAAAAATATACCTGGCACTGGAAGAATTATTTGTCTATAAACGTCGTAGTGAAAGAGTTAAGTAAAAAACGGCATAATACAAAATAAACTTATGCATTTAAATAATTATAAACACACATGCATGCATATAAGTATAGGGTTGAGTACGTTATACCAAAGCGATTTTGAATGCAAAATTCAACAAGATACTTGACAACCACGGGCGATATAAAGTCGTGGTGGAACGGAATTTATCAGAGCTATATTTTGACATTTACAATATGTTAGGCGTTTCGTAGGTAGTGTGATGCCACACAAAATTCATCGCTTTTAAGAAGAGTATGTAACAGCCATTTTCGCTAAAATATTTATGTATTAACAATGTAAATATGTATTTAGACCGGGGATTTAGAACTTCCAAGAAGTAAATATCCTTGTACATAAGAACGACTGCCTCGACTGCACTTTTCTGCCTCTTTTTTGGTCAAGCTTGATTTATTTATTTCAGTTAACTATGAAATGTGAGGTTAGGGTATACTACGAAGTGGGGGTGGTAGTACTTGCCCCGTCATTTTTCAAGGCCTGTACGCTAGTGTTGCGTACTAATGCCTGGGACACATGGTCGGTTTTTGCCACTAACCTTTGCGTTCATTGATTCTCACCTGTTACAAGACGTCGCACTTTCTTTATCACGGCTGGGATATGACTTGTTGCAGGTCCCCTTTTGTATGGTCCTAGGTCCCCAAATCGATCCGTCCCCAAATCGATTCATGTTCTTTTTTTTTCCTACAACGTCGGTAAAGTTCTTTGTGAGCCAATCAAAATTAAGATCATTCAGGAAATGAATTTGTGGCGTATTCATAGAGTAATTATTAGTTAAAATCAGTTAGATTAACAACTTCTAATATATAGAAAAGCCAGTGCGTTTTGGTAACATTACGTTCCAACAATGGCTTTTATGTCATGTTGCTTAGCAACATAAGTATAACCTAACATTGTTGTTAGTCTATGTATAAAATAAAATGTATAAACAAAACTGGAAAATTATTTGTTGATTTCGTAATTAAGAGTCTCCGTTGATAAAGAGTTTTTTTTATTAAAAACGTTGGTGATATTACAGAACATAGCTTAATTCAGAAGTGATTTAGGTTTAAAATTGAATCGATATTTTTACTTTTATGATAAATTTTATGCACTTGGCTCTAGGCTAGTTGATCCTACACTAAGTCTTTACTTTAGGCTTATTATACCAACACTCACTACACTTTCACGGCACCCCCGTCACTAAAAGTGTAATGGGCAAACAGTAATCGAATTGTTCTATCTGGATAAATGTGTTTTGGCTTTTATGACTCCTCCTATTTGAGTAGTCAGGAGAAATCAAGCGTGACGTGACATACACTGGTTGTTATATAGGTTAGGTAATCAAGAAGGATCTCCGTCTGGAAAACTGGCATCACACATGTATACAAGTAGCTTTCACGAAATATCCGTTCAACCGTTATATTCTTCAAACAGCTGGAAAATGAAACGGGTATTCACACTATTCCATAGAAAGACACACTGTTGAAGTCGCTGTACACAGTGCCTGTGAATTCCTTTGCGATGTGATCGGACTGTTGAAACCGGTATTGGGAATCCGTCGTCCTTGTACACTAGATAGATTATATAGACACTGAAAGCTTTACTATAGAGCCTTTTGCAATGGAAACTACATTACATAGCTATTGTCAAGGGGCATGGTCGTCAGGCTCAAACGTGGCGACATGTACTGTAACGACGTGGTGATGCCCCTAAATCGTTTCTATATAACGCATTTAACCCCGATTTGTATGTATATTTATATTGCATAACGTTTTGAACGTTTGAGCTATATTTGATATTGATTTCCTATAGCACAAAAATAACAGTAAAATAACATTGTATAACCATTCAGGTTCAAGGGCATAATGTTACGTAACATCGAGATATACATCACGTAATTATGCAGTTATTAAAGAAACAGTTTTATTGTATCATTAATTTTGAACCTTTTGAATGATTAATTTTACATAATTATTGAAATCCCGTATTACTTTATTCCTAGGGTAGCACAATTTGTGGTGAAGGTAAAATATGTAAATAAAAAAACATGTTTTTATATTACATTATGACTGTTCCTAGGGTAGCACAATTTGTGGTGAAGGTAAAATATGTAAATAAAAAAACATGTTTTTATATTACATTATGACTGTTCCTAGGGTAGCACAATTTGTGGTGAAGGTAAAATATGTAAATAAAAAAACATGTTTTTATATTACATTATAACGATGTTACTGTACCAGTAGTTTATTGTGAATTTAACATACTGCAGTAATACGTATTCTAGCTCGTATACACCTTACAAACTTAAGCGTTTTTAATAGACAGCAGCTAAGGTTGAAATCAAAATTTTTATGGCAATAACTACACTATAGGCTAGCATTTGATCGACCCCCCTCAGTGACACAACGGAATGTCTGCGGACTTAGAACGCTAGAAACCGGGTTTCAATACTCGTTGTGGGCAGTGTAGATTTGTGCTTATCATCAAACAAACCAAGGCATTTGGCCCAAACCTCATTATTCACCTGTGTATACAGTTTAAGATATATGTCACACCAACTACACAACTGAACTGGACATGTCACATAACATGCTGCTCAGCTTGAAAATATCGAACCTAAAGTTTTACACTATGTCAGTGTGCATGTTCACTGACTTACAATTTACAGCATGATCACAACTGATTTGTTTACTGTATAGGTCAGCGCAGCTGTAGGCTTATGTTGATTTTTATCTCAAGAACTTGAAACAGGAACCTGTGGATACCCCCCCCCCACACTCCTTTTCTAGTTTCACACAGCTGACGCACGTTTATGTATTTTTAATATTTCAGAGTTTCTCGCTACATACATGGAATAATAATAATACATGTAAACTAACATGAAATAATGGATTCAGGACCTATTCCATTACTACAGTCAGATAAGTATGACCTACATAATCTGTTAGCATGTCGTAGGGTGACCTTCGTATGATGTTAAGCTACCATTAAATAACGACACACGCATTAGATTTATTATTTAAACTACAAACCTCGTATGCCTTTTCGTAGTTTACGAAACAAAAGCATAAGAAACTGACAATACTTTCACGAATATTACGACTAATCTACAGTTTTTTAGTATATTTTAATCAAAACCCAAGTGAGTTAACTTGTATTATGAAAATAACCTGAAAACATGGTCACCAACACTGTGTAAGTTAGACTTTAAACAGGGTTTTTAATGGAAACTAATAACTCCAGTTTGTTTTTATAAGACTTACGACACGTTTAAATATTCTTTATTTTTATGACACAATCTAATCAAAGACAACCTTCAAGAATATACAGAAAACCCTTATAATGTATAGTGTTGAATAGGCTGGGTGTACCTAGTGTTTAGCATGGCGGCTTGCGAATTCATGGTTCGAAACTTTTCGATTCGCAACTGAACGCGCATTACAAACTTGCAGTCAGTCCCATTAATCTGGTGATGATGAATGTTGCTGGCTGGCTGGCTAGGCTGTAGTTGCAAAATAATGGTAGCTTATTCCTGAATCTAGCTAGGGGTCTGTCACCAACAGCTGTTTGGCCCACGTGCGCAGAAAGGGCTGCTCAGGTTCATAATTCCAATCCCACTGGCTTAATTGTTTGTAACCAAAATGTTCTAATGTTCCATTCTAAATAAGAGGCGCTTTGAGTAACTAGAAGTTGGAAATAGGAAATGAAACACATTCAAATAGGAAAACAAGTCGTGTTAGACCTGTCTAGATATACATAGCTTATTTTCGGTTAAACCAAGAGGGATATGCTGTCATTTTAAGCTATGGGTGCATTATAAAAGTGACAATCAATCCCTTAACATGGATGGTGGGTAGTAGAGAGTTGCTGATTGGCTGCTTTCCCTCTGGTAAATAGTTCAAAATTAGGGATGGTGGTGGATAGCCTTAACAGTCTTGCCACAAATACAAGTATAAAGAACTCGTACAACTTGCAATGTTAAAATAGATAGTCTTATGTAAGACTGTAATGACACAACCTTGAATTAAAATCTAAAATAGCTTTATTCATAGAACATTTTAACTACTCTTCGTTAGGCTTAACAGGATCTACGAGTTTTGATAAGTAAACTCCAAAAAGCACGTGTTCAAGTAGTGTGTCTTCATAGTAACCAATGGGATTAACCAAGGCTAGCTTGAAACATTATTTTACAACAGCAACAAGGCTAAATGAAATATAGTTCAATGAAATAACAACGCTAAACTAAAGGGCACCGTAGTTATTTATTTAAATATGATGTACATTGTTCAGGTGTTTAGAAGAATACAAAGTAAATTATTTAAAATATGTAAGAAAGTTTTAAAGCTCATTCAGGAAACTGGATAAAACCAAAGGGAACTCAAGAAATGATATTGATTAGATAAAAGAAGATTGTTCTTAATTCTATGGGATGTTGACTGCTCAGTTTTAAAATTAATGTACAATGTATACAGTGTGCATATAAAAGTGGTTGACTACGGGTTGACCCTGTGGTAGATCTCTGGATTTCGGAGTTGATGAGCCGGTTTCGAATCTTTGGGATACCACAAAATATTTCTCCCACTTTAAGCCATGGTTGCATTATAAGAGTGACAGGCAATCCCTTAACGTGGTTGGTAGGGTGCTACTAGTTTCCTTTCCCTCTGGTTAGTAGTTAAAAAAGTTATGCAGATGAAAATAAAAAATGGCTTTTGTTTATGTTTAACCATTTTCTCACGCGCATAATATAATGAAATTAAAATAATAACTCTAGTCCAAATTAAATGAATTCTGAGCATAAATCTCGCTATCACTCTATGTACTTAAGATACACATGTATCTTATAGATACAAACATGCGGTAAAACAATACAATGTATCTCTTTATTAATCACAACCACATGTACTTTGGGGAAACAAGAACAATTTATTTTGTCGTGTACTTAAAACTGAGGAAGTGAATTGTTGTTGTAGTACAACCATGAGTATTTACACTCACTAAGCGTTTACGAACAATTTTTGAAAAAATCGTAAACCTACATTCGTATTTACATGGTACTTAACTTTTGCCTTAGATATTCAGCCGTAAAACATAACCTGGTTATCTGAATTTATGTGATTAGATAATGTTTCAATATTTTGAGCTATATTTGTTTTTATGTTACAGCGACATAGCTTACTGGGTGTTCTTCTAGAAGCTGGAGGTTGTGCAGTCAGGTATGTTTGACACAATATGTTGAATGTTCTTCTAGGAGACAAAGGTTGTTCAGACAGGTGATTTGTGACACAATACGCTGTTTCCTAGAAGCTGAAGGTTGTTCAGTCAGGTAGGTATGACACAATATGTTGAATGTTCTTATAGGAGACAAAGGTTGTTCAGACAGGTGATTTGTGACACAATACGTTGTTTCCTAGAAGCTGAAGGTTGTTCAGTCAGGTAGGTATGACACAATATGTTGAATGCTCTTCTAGGAGACAAAGGTTGTTCAGACAGGTGATTTGTGACACAATACGCTGTTTCCTAGAAGCTGAAGGTTGTTCAGTCAGGTAGGTATGACACAATATGTTGAATGTTCTTCTAGGAGACAAAGATTGTTCAAACAGGTGATTTGGGACACAATACGTTGTTTCCTAGAAGCTGAAAGTTGTTCAGTCAGGTAGGTATGACTCAATATGTTGAAATTTCAAATATAGGAGCCAAAGTGTATTTAGAGGGTGAGCTGTGACACAGTACATTGGGTGTTCTATAAGTTGTGACACAAAATTTGAAGAGATGATGTAGAAGAAACAGGTTCTTCAGCAAACTATCCATTTCCATAGTTTATTGGGTGCTTCTTCTAGAAGCCCCAATATGTTCAAAACGAACTGGTATAACATGAGAAATCAACAAATTGTCGAATTCTGTAAAGCAAGTAGATAAACTGTAATTCTTAAAAGTAAAAGATAAAGTGAAATTTATTATTTTTGAATGCTAAACCATAACACACCAAGCTATGAACATGGAACTGCTAGGCAACAACATCCTCCTTCTGGAGTGCCTGTAGCAACACCTCGATTCAGATAATAGGAGTTACACAACCAGTAATCTTAACGAAACTTTCATGAAAAACTGGAGTATTTCATTACTGTTTTGTTTGTTTGTTTGTTGTTGTTTTTTTTGGGGGGGGGTGTTAACTTGTTCCAGTGTCTCTTGTAATTAAGGCCGTAAAGGGGTCCAACTGATGTCATTAAATCTGCCAAGGATGGGTTTTCTAAGGTTGATGTCTGGTAAAAATACTGACCAATTTATTCTCGCAGCAGTTCTTGTAAGCTGGACAGTGATGGTACTGCACTGTGGAGAAGAAGAAAGGCTTGACATGGTTGCTAGAATCTCGTCCTTGTAACGCACAAAATTCAAATATCATTAGTGATGACGTACAGATCAGGACCTCCAACAGAAATACTTTCGTTAGTTCAATATTTAAACTCAAGGGTAGACGTGGGTGGATGCCGTCCATCGTCTATTCCCGAGGAAACATTTTTTTTGTAAACCTATCAACATTAATATTTGTCTTGAATAGTTGTTTTGGAAGATTTAAATTGCTATTTTACCTGTGTATTTGGTAACCCTCTACACTTCACTCACAACTTTGTACAAGTCTAATCTTGCTTTGAATATTAGCTGTCCCCTCGAATTTGTCATTCTCGGCGCCTGTGTTCCAAACGTAGAGGTTTGCCTTGACTTCCAACATGGCCGTCATCAGCTTAGTTCCAAGAGTTAATCTAAAGGAGCGCTGTTATAGAAAAATTAATATAATTGAGGTGCTCTTGAATCGTAATAAAAGTTTATTTGTATGTTTTGTGCAATTCCATATAGAGCTTGCTTCTCGCCTGGGATACAAAGTTTAGCAATTTGTAAATTTAAAAACGTTATATTTCTTACACATATTGTAACGAACTTTACGGTGTTTTTAATTTTGCACCATGGACATGAAAAAACACTGTTTATAATCATGTTTCATATTGTTTTTGTTTTTTTAACCCATCAAGTTTATTACACGGGTAGCCATTTTAGAAATTAAGAACGGTAAATGTCACGAACAGATGAACTTTGAGCGTTTTCACACGAAGATGTTATATGAAACATATCATTAATTACTGTGGTTGGAGTCGAGCGTGAACTGTGGTTCTTGGGCTTCTCCCCTTGAGATGTGAATTATTAATGAAAGTGCGCTGAGCAACAGCTGGTATTAGCAGTGATAAACTGTCTGACACAACATTTTGCTGTCAAACTTGTCCGACACTCCCCCTTTTTTTTTCGTTTTTCCTCCAACGTTTTATAAATGTTGTATAAATTTATACGAATACCAATTAATCCTTTCGTGACTTAGATCTTATTTTCTTCACCAACTATTTTAAGTGATTGAATATCGATTTTCGTCTTGAGGCAAAACATAGTTATTTAACCTTTTCATGCCGTCCCCCTAGTGGCTCAGCGGTAAGTCTGAGAATTTATAATGCTAAAAATCGGGTATCGTTACCCGCTGTGGGCAAAACACAGATAGCCCATGGTGTAGCTTTGTGCTTTACGAAAGAAAAATAAATCATGTCATTGTGGTTATTAAAGTTATCAGAACGCAAGGCATAGCATTGTAGCAGACTACGTGTACTGAATCCACAATACCTTTGGAACTTTAAATATTGTCTGCATGCTTTGCATTAATGTGTTTTGTTTTTTCGTTGAGAAAGATAAAAATGCTTATGTTCTCTTACAATTTTAATTTTATTCTATCTTTCTGTTTGTGCATATTTAAAGTTCGTGTTTTGCTGCATTTCTCGCCTTTTATGCTTCCTGCTGCTGGACGTTAGCTTCTGTTACGAACCATTTTTGTTCAGTTGTTTCCTTGTTTTTAGCAAAATAAACCATTTGGACCAGTTGTGTTGAAGGTTAAAAGAATGTTGTTTTTTCATAAGTTCTTTTTTTTTATGTTGTTGTTTCAAAATTTACAGTTTATGACACAGAACAGGCCGTTATGCTGATTGGGAACATGCAGTGCAACCAGTACCTCCTCGTTTCTTTAATGTACTATTTACGCGCCATTATAAGCTCGAAAGTTCGTTTAATGCTTATGACCGATATATTTCGAGTTATTATCCCGTTTGTTAACAACCAGATTCTCAGTTAATATAATTTGTGTAATACAGTGAAGGGATGGTTTGTCAAATATCCGTCATCACCTATCCCCCATGTGAGTTAGCAGTAAGATTACGGATTTATAACGCTAAAATCCAGAGTTCGATTCCCATTATGTAATTTTGTACTAAAACAACAACAACAACTTGTTGAATAACGATATGATTATTGAAGTAAAATAACAAGCTTTATTTTTCTTCAATATTCTGCCTCTGTTGACAGAATGATAAACTGTGACAGGGGAAGACAGTTGACAGAAATAACTTTTATATCATCCATATAACAACAGGTAATTGATAATTTTCAGATGAGGTAATAATTATAATAATGTATCATATAACAAAGAGATACGTGTGTTTGTTTAACGTTTAATCTGTATGGTAGTTAACTTTAACCTAACAGACAAATTAGAAAAGTGGGTTTAGATCTGTTTGTTGTTAATCACAAAGATACACAATTAGCTATCTGTGGTTTGTCCACCATGGGTATCAAAGCATGTTTCCTAGCATTATAAGCTCTCTAACTTACAGAGGAGCCACCAGAGGGCAACTTTAGAAGGATAGATTGTATGCCCCAGTACCTTATGAACAAAGCAATAGGTATGAGGCAAAGTACAGTTTGGTTCAGTAAAGTGTTAAATGCATACCTGATCTCTGAAATAGAAACTTCCAAAAATGGGTAAAATGAGTCGATAAGTTTATATTTTTTCAGAGATTATATCTGCTATTTCATCTTCCTTTGTGAAGAATGTTGTTTTCTACTGAGAGTTGACTTATTGTTTACTATCATAACATGTTGTTGCTAAAATCGTTTTTCTGCTTCTTACCATATATACTTTTTCTCATACTACTGAGATTATCTACCATAGTGAAAGAATGTCCATCATGTTTACTTGACACGATCTATCTCGTTTCTGTTTGTTACCCTATAAACATTTTCTCATATCTCGGAGTTTATCTGCTGTAGCAAGAGAATGTCCATCATGTTTAGTTGACACAATCTAGCCTGGTTTTATCTGTTACACTATAAAAATATATGTTTGTTACAATTTAACATTTTCTTTTGTAACAGATTTTTACTGTCATGAGCAAAAGAACATCTGTTATGTTTAATTGATACTGTTTATTATGTTGACTTTTTGGATAATTGATACTTGAAACTATCGGTACTTGGTGAAACTCCATAATTACAGATGAAGACATCTTTACTGGCAAAACCATGGTCGTGAATAAATGATGTATTTATGAAACATACAATTGTCTTGTTTTACCTAATTTTGTTTTTCGTACATTTTCTCTTACAATGAGTTTACTGTAACAAAAGAACATCTATCATGTTTGATGGTTACAACTTGTTTTCTTTTATTTCATTTAACCTTTCTGTTACTGCGGGTCCTGAGCTCGAGAAAGTAAGAACATTCATCATATTTAAGTTATATAATTAACTTTATTTTCCACAACTTTCTTTATTACCCTGAATTCCTCGTTCTGTAGAGCCGAAGGACACCCATCACCAGATCCATTCTATGTGAACCAAGCCCGTAACACCGTGTTACAAGTGGAATCTCTTGGTGTCACAGTTGAAGCTGACCGATGGTAAGAGTTACATATTGACAACACTACATTTTCACCATAGTTCTCTTGTCTGTCTTTAATTATTAAATTGCAATACACTTACTGAATGTCTTTGGGATATTCTAAATAAATTGGTAAAATTGTTCTTATGAGTGTTAGTATAGTTAACTTTGAGTTTTTATGATATCATACATTGTACTTAGAAACAAATATGGTGATTGTTTTGTGTCCTTACCTTAGTATCACCTAGATATTCACAGTATCATATATGTTGTGTTTATTATGATACCTTGTAACATGAGAGGGATGTTTCATGCTGGAGGTGGCTGAACATAAAATGACCTGATTGGTTCTAATAAAGCACATATTCGATTCTTAGATACTCCTTTGATTCTTGGAACTAGATTTGTTTTACATGAATGTTGATTTTTTTATTGCAGGAACGTGCTAAATGTTTACAACAGAAAATAAGTAATAGCATTTTCTGTCAGAAATCGTGTCACTTTTACTGTGATGTATAATCTATAGGTATATAAATACAACCTCTTTTATATATATATTTCAGTTTGTCATAAAATGGTTACAATGTAGTATGTAAGTAGATATAACTCAACTAACTTTTTTTTTCTGTGCCAGTGGTAAGTAATGGTATATTTCTAACCAAAAGTGATGTTATTGGTAAAGATTACATGTTTTTCCAATTTGATAAGTGATTATAGTACAATTTGGGCAGCAGTAACATTGCTTACGCTTTTTCCATTTTATTTCAGTCCTAGTCAAAGTTGATTATTCTGTGAAATATCTATTTGTTACATTTTAAGTTCTGATAAGTTTTTAGTGAGATGACAAAGCTATGGGAATAAATTGACATTAGGGATAATTTTAATAATATCCTTTTATAAGAACATGCTGGGGGAGATGAAAAACTCAGTATGTGTGTGTTAAATGAAGGTTTAATATTCGAACATAACTTGAAGATTTTATTGTCATTAATCTAAGCCGAATGCAACTGTTACTGTAGATTTTGATAAGATTCAGAATTTTACAATATATATCATTTTAGATTATTACTATTCTTAATTGCACATCACATATTTATGTTAAAGTTCTTCTTAAAACAAAATATATCATTTGTGTCTTCACAGTGTGGAATCACCTACAGCTCCACCTTTGGCATCACCAGAGAATTTTCTAACCAAGGCTAAGAACCCCAAGAAGGACCAATCAAAAGAACAGAATTCAGCAAATTTTAAAGGATCACCAATCAAAAGCCTCTACCAGAAATCTTTGAGTCAGTCTAATCTTTACTTCTCTGGAACAATTTCTCAAGGACAGGGTACATATCTCCTGATAACTTGATGATTAAAAAAAATTTAGTTCCTTAACTTGTCACTAGGTGTGCCAGCATCTGTGTATTCACAAACTTGTGTTTCTTCTTTGGTTTTAAATTACTATTTTGGTTTGCATCTTATGCACAGTATTACACTATTAAGTATAAAAAGCTTATTTTGAATCTTAACAAATTGCATAATTATTGTCATTCTCTTGCCTAACTATATGAAATTACAAGAAAGCATGGATACCTCAAGTTTTTCCAGACTGTCAACAGATATTTCCTTCCAATTATGCTGCACATTCTCCCAATATTACTTTTTACTGGTAACACAAAGTTTTATTTAATTAGCATCGGAACTTTGAACTGATCATTTCATAATTTTAACATCACCAGCTCTTTCCTCTTATTCATCAGGACAGTATCTTTTTTATCACTACACTGGTAATTTCAAAGATGAATTCCTGCTGCTGTTGATCTTCTAACTACATTTGTATTCTGAATTTCCACTTCTGTTGGTGATTGTAACTCCATGTGTATTCAGAATTTCTGCAGCTGTTGGTGTATCCTGTCTGGATGTTTTCCTTCGATATCCTTTCTTCTTAGTAGACTTGAAATACTGGTTCTACACATACTAATGTTTTTTGTGGAATCAAACTCTTCAAAACACTACTTTTTTTAGCTACATACTATTAATTTTTTCATATTCTCATTTAAAGCAATAATTTGGGCTCTTTTTCTTCTATTTAATTCAATTTTTTAACAGTTTCAGCTGTGTTGAAACTTATAAAATCTATGGATGGTCTGGTTATTTAATGCAATTAACTCGGTTGAAACAAGAACGTTAGTGATTTGAATTACGTGTGAAAAGTAGATGTCTCACTATGAAAACGTGGATCACTGGATCAAGTTCGCTCAGTCTATTCTTAACGGTTCCCACTAGTTAATGTGTAATTATATCGTGATTATGTCATTAACTGTTTTTCTTATAAACATAGAACAGTATAGCACAGAGATTCGTAGCAAGAAATACACCATTGGCGTCGCGCAAAGACATTGTGTGAACATTAAATAAGCAGTTCGTAAAATCCCTCGTTGTAATTAACGAGCGACCTCAGTGGCGACACGTGGTAATGACATTGTAATTTACAAGGCTTCCGCCTCGCCTGTTCGAAAGGCGCAAATATATGCACTGATATTAGTAAGTTTGCACTTGTATGTTAATAACATTTACGTGTACTGTCCCTTACGTGGAGCTACGTAGGACAGGCGTAATATGTGAGCTCATTATTAAACGCCTAGTACATCTTTGCAAGTCTTGATGTTATTGTATAGTTACCATGGTAACAAAAAAAAATGATCAGGAAAACTAATATATTTCTAGGTTTAAAAACAATTCACCTGTATCTCGTGTTCATCATTTCTTATATAGAGATTTCGGATTTTGTCATATATTTTCTGAATTCGAGTTTATGTACGACTTGCATCACCAAGAAACCAAAAAAAAAAACGTTTTCAACCAGCATGCAAATATTTATTGGTTCAGTTTTTAGCGTAAGGAATGATCACCAAGCGGAGAAAATTCGAATTTGAAGTGGTTCAAAGAAATTTGAAAACTTGATATTTTACACATAAATAGAATGGTGCTTATGGAGATGGAGTTTAATACGGCTATAAAGTTTTTGTTTATTTTAAATAACCCTAATAAAGACGAGAAACTCAAGTTACCATCCAGGTATTTGTTACTTTTCGAACATTGTTATACTAAGGGAATTTCGTTACTTTGTTTCATAAAATCAAGAATTTATACACTTGACATTTAAGTTAACTTTTAACGTGAATTCATCATTTAAATGTTTCAGTCCCCCAGTGGCACAGCGGTATGTCTGTGGACTTGCATAGCTAGAAACCGGGTTTTGATACCAGAGGTGGCCAGAGCACATATAGCCCATTGTGTAGCTTTGTGCTTAACTTCAAACAAAACGAAAACAATAATTTTTCAGTATGCTTATATAACAGTTAAGGTAGTATTTTCTTAACAGTGGTATAGGTGGCGCTACAAAGTTGTAATAAATTTCGTTTTATTTTCTTTGTTTTTTTTTGTAGGTGCATATACCGACATATTGGGACTTCCATATTATATACATATATCTTTATTAAACAAAATCAGACTTTTTCTTCTGTTCTGCCTATATTCAAGCAATATGTTATATATTATTATAAATATTGATTGTAAATTGTTTTGTTTTTACTTCTAAATCAAACTTAGATTCAAAACTTTCACTCTGCAGAGCTCCAGAATTCATTGAAATCTTGTTGTTAGTTGAATTTGTATTTTTCTTCAACATATATATAATTAAAGGTTGAAGTATATTATTAACCATGTTGAGTTCCTTAACAAACCACTTGAAGATAAGATAACGGTATCTTTATCGTTATTATAAAGAGCGAAAAAATATTTAAACTGACAGCAAATTAGACAAATTGGTAGTGAAGGTAGTTACGCTTGATAGAATAACGAATCTCTTACTTATCTATGCTATATTCCAGTTTACAAAGTCGGCAGCGGAGATGTTGCTTATAATTTATATTACATACAGTCTTGTAAGCACAGACATGCACTAGGAAAGGGCCAATTATATTTAAATTATCTTCTCAAAGGGTTTCGTTCGACCATACATCTATAGAGTTCAGACACCCACATTTCTTTACACGGTACGTTATGTTAAATATGCTTACTGAGAGGCAATGTGCCTTCTACTTTTATTAAACTGATTTTTGTTTTGCATATATTAAATTACTATGAAGATAAAATGAAGAACTCCACCAATATACGCGTCTTAAGAATGTTCTGCGAAATTCATGTGATCACTGAAGACTTGTTTCTTAAATATGTATTTGGTACAGCTGGATCTTTCTGTAATCACGTCATAAATACTCGGCCTCAAGTGAGATTAAAACAATATCTCACCTTAATCCAATCTCTTAAGTGCGTTGTTGCCAATAAAATATTGCTTATAAGATAATGATCTCGTGGCCACAAAATTTATCGGATTTACAGAAGGAGCTGATACAAGCGTGTTCGAGTTTCATACCAAAACAAATTCTAATACATGATGCATTTGGAAATGAAATGACGCTATAAGTAATATACAGTAATCATTTTGCATAAATATTTTTTATATTAGTATCATTAACGTTTTATTTCCACAAAGAATGTGTATATGTATAGCCCCATGATGTCTCGGCGGTAAGCTTGGGTACCTTTTAGTTTTAAAAATTCGGGATTCGAGCCCTGCGGTAAGCACAACGCAGATGACCTATTATGCTGCTTTGGATTTAAAAGGTAAAAAAAAATGGTGGCTGCTAAAAAATATAAGTTGTATGTTAAACGTGCATCAAATGAAGAGGAATGTGTGTACATTTCCACACCAAGATATTCCAGTGGGTCAGCGATGGGTAAACTTATAGCGCTAAAATTCGGGGTTCGATTCCCCACAGTGGACGGAGTGCAGATAGATTATTGTGTAGATTTGCGCTAAAACAATTAAAACAATCCCCTATCAAAAATGTAAAAATATGATATAATAGATAAAACTTTTAATAGAAATTACATTTCAGCATAAAAAGTTATATCCAAACATACATTGCTTATCATCACACATACATTAAATTTTGCGTTAGCGGTGTAGTTTTTATTTTTATAGTGTGCTGGAAAATCTGGTCTTGTAATATCCCTTCCCAGTTCCTGATCAGATATAAAAGTCATGTAGCAAATAGACAGTTGAGGAGCTCTTGAGACGCTAGTTCTAGGAAAGAGTTTGTCTTGATTTTTGGATGAAACGTTTAGCAGTTTTCTTGTTCTGTTTTTGTTGAAAAGGAAGGAGGATAAAACTACAAGTATGTCTGTACCAGAACCTTTCAGTCAAATTATCGATCACCCACTTCTATTTCGTATGTAGGTTCCGGAGAAAAGAAACAACAGGAAATGACGTCAATACTCAAGAAGAAACTTAATCCGGACGGAGAGAGGCAACAACTCATCTCATCCTCAAGTAAGTAACAATAGCCGAAAGAAAATGGACTAGTATTAAATTCCTCCAAACGCAGTGTATCCGTCTTTCACGCGATCTTACGAATTCAGGCTTATCTTAGTTCAAATTATAGAATTACATCCACATTCAAGAACCTCATAAAAAAGAATCTACATATCTAATCCAACATTCAGTGTTAGACAAAGTCATCACACCCTCCAGTAGTTCATCGTAAATCTGTAGGTTTATAACGCTAAAAACCGAGTTTCCATACGCGTGGTGGGCACAGCACTGATAGCCCATTAAGTAGTGTTGTACTTAAAACTGAATAATGTTTATAGATCACTTTATTTTTATCTGCATTTTTACCTTTGTTACCAAATGGTCTGTTGACGACTGTAAATACTTTCGCCATATTTAGTCAAACTCTCTTAAACAGTTGTTTAAATTTTTTTTAAACATAATTTTTCAGTTTGCAAATATGTATATTTAAAAACAGTCTTGCTCAAGTACATTTTCTGATATTACTGAAAATACGAATTACATATATATATTAATTTATTTATTTGTAATTTTATATATTACACGCTGAGGTACCTGTCCTTTGTCCGGGTTATGAACTTGAAAAAATATGTGGGGGTGGATGCTATGGAAAATAACAAATATCCTAACTTTCATACAATTTATTTATAACATAACATATTATCACAGTATCTACTATTACCTCACCAAAAGTTTTGTATAAGCTTTAATAACTCTATATGTTTATACTTAAAACATAGTATCTACTGTGCAATGGTCAGGATGACTTTGTAGGAACAGGTAGCAGCCAAAGTAGTGGAGGTAGGGGTGCTTTCTGTTACCCGATTTCAACACCCAACCCTTAGTGTCCTTCCACAGAGTTTTACGTGAATAATTGATTGGCGGTAATTGGCTATAGAAGTTAAAAGGTCACGGGTCAAAGTAGGAAGTGGGTATAACTCAAGAAACGGCTCATTATATCCACCTTATGGTGGCTTTTGGAGTAGAAACTTCAGCTGTGCTTATGTATTATTGCAATTGCGGTGACCATTTTTCTTCTCATTGCATTCCTCCGTAGAGGCCCGGCATGGCCAGGTGGTTAGGGCGCTCGACTCGCAATCTGCAGGTCGCGGGTTCGAATCCCCGTCCCACCAAACATGCTCGCCCTTTCAGCCGTGGGGGCGTTATAATGTGACGGTCAATCCCACTATTCGTTGGTAAAAGAGTAGCCCAAGAGTTGGCGGTGGGTGGTGATGACTAGCTGCCCTCCCTCTAGTCTTACACTGCTAAATTAGGGACGGCTAGCGCAGATAGCTCTCGTGTAGCTATGCGCGAAATTCAAAAAACAAACAATCCTCCGTAGAGAGTGCTAGCACACTCTATGAGCCCACTCCCCCACAGTGTGTGTATGTTGTGCTATAGAAAATGTTTGTTTTTTGTTGTAAGGACATGGCGCTATCTATGAATGTAGTTAACATTAACTTACGTCAAATATAATAAATGCTCAACACCAACAATAATGGGAAGTGTAGGGGGTTGTTAACTCTCATTGACACGCCCCTTTTTCCAAACTCTCATCTCACAAAGTTTGTTTGAGATTGGCCCAGCGACCTTGGAGTGGTTACATAACGGGCAAACAGACAGATACAGAATTTTGTTCGTTATATATAGAGATTGACTAGTTGAGTATGTTAAGGGTAATTAGTAACTAATTATTTTTTAACAGACCTTTAATAATTTATTATTTTCTATAGAGAACGTTGTACATTACATATTATTCTTTTTTTTCTTTCAAGATAAAGTTTTCGTTCATTAGTTCAAAATATGATTCCAAACGATTAATCAGATATTTATTGCTGAATATTATGCCTTTTAAATCACAACTTCAATGCCAATCGGACGAAAAAAAAAATACATTTTAAGCTCATTACTTTTTATAATCGTAATTTAATTAGATCGGTCTTTCGCCTAACATTTTGTCATGAAAAATCTTATGTGTGTTTTATGGGCGCTTTTGCGTTTTTTACAATTACATATGAGGGAAGCAGATTTTCATGTTCTAAGATAATCTTTCATTGATCATGAATTTACATAACTTCCGTCCAGAGGACGGGTACTCCAGCTAGTTTAAGAAAGGTGATCATTATGACATTCACTGTTGTACTGAGTCATTAATTTCGCATAGATTTTAGCAATAGTTAAATGTGTTTTATCGGTGACTGATGTTAGCCATAAATCTGGTCAAGCTTTTCGTGTTATTGTACCATGGCTTGTGATTCCAGTATAAACCCTCTAGTATTATTAAATTATATTTTATTTTAAGTGGGTAATTTTTAAGTTTTAGTACTTTTGCGAAAGAAATTTATAAAACGCTCAATTCTATAGCTGTATCCATCTCCATTGTATTCTGTTATAATTATGATATGTTAATCGTCACTCCTCCAGTAGATGGTTTAAATGTTTAGAATTCAATTATTTTGTTAATTCGTCATGTTTATAAAATATTGTAGTTTATAACTAAAATCTTTATACTTTCCATTGCTAAGAATTCTGTGCTGTGACGTCAACTTTTAAAGGATTTTGTAAAGAAATGTGTTTTTCGTAATAATCATACTAATCTTGAGTGTAGATGTCGCCAGCGTTCAATACAAATTATTGTTCAGCTATCATATTACGCGAATTAGTTGTCGTGTTTATTCCACCTACTGCGAAGCAACGCACAACCCCAATCTTGTGTACAGAATATCTTAAGTTTGGTTGGATGGATAGTGTTTAAGCTTGTACAACAGGTACTACTTACAAAGGACTAGTTAGACCTGATTAACTTTTGAAGGTCATGAGCCAAAGGTCACTGGTTCATAGAGAATCTTTCCTAACGTTTTGTACATTATATTTTAATGCAGGATGAATGGATATTGATCAAACTTATATAATAGGTATGACATACAAAATTCTGGACCTAGTTAACTTTTAGCTCAAAGTTCAAGGCCATAAGGTCACTGGTACGTATAAAATTGCTCCTATCATGGGAATAGGTATTAATTACATCATCAAAGTGTGAGTGTAGGTGCTTCATAAAATAATTTACACTTGTTGATTCCTCATCCTTCTTTGTTAAATGTAATCCTGGGTTAAAATTGACTGCTATGTTTGTATATGCCTGAAAATCTTCAGCCTGGTTAATGAAATCTTGTAATAAATGTTTTATTTTTTGTTGATGCCAGTTACTAAAAATAGAGCCTTTGTTAACAAATAGCTCATGGGAATGGAGCTTAAATAACATTGTACTAGATCTATACATGGCCATCTTATGCTAAATATAGTTTAGCTTCTGTTCAAAGAGTATACGTGTAATAGATGTCTGATTATACGGACTAAAACCAAATTAGAATTCTGTATTTAATTACTTTATGTAATAGTGAAATAATTAAGTGGTCACATATTTTGTCCATCACTGATTGTAACAGTAGATCTGCTCGAGCTTTTTGTGTTATCATAATATCTATTTTACTTGAGTTTCATACTTATTTTACCCTGTAGTTTATCTTTTGAAGCTTCTGTTGCCCATTGAATTTTCTTCACCTTTTATTCCCCTGATTAAAAAAGTAGTGGGGAGGGTATAAAGTGTCTGTCTACTTTCTGCAGGATATCTAGAGTTCTAGCCAGCAAATTTTAATGAAATTTCACAGCCCAATTTCCCTGAAGATGGGGAAAAAACTGATTTATTTTGGGTGAAAACATCAAATATAACCATTTAAAATATAGAAATGTTGTTTTTTTGCAAAAATAAAGAATTATCATAAAATATAACACAAAACAAAAAGCTGCTGTTTTAGCATGATCAGAAATTCTTATGATGACTATTTTGTTAATTTTCTTTAAAAATAAAATTGGATAGAGAGATTAAGATCTGGAAAGTAAAATGCAGAAAACTTAAAAAAATTGAGTTTTACAAAAAATAATTGCATGATATTTTAAGAAAAACTCATTTTACAATGAAGTCTGAAAAATCAACAAGAATGTAATATTTAGTTACAGCTGCATGTTTTCTAATAATCTGAGCTGTTAGTAACCGAATATGGGTCAGACCAGGTGGTTTTGAAATATTATCCAATAACACTGTGATTTAAAGATTGAGTGTTTTTGTTCAGTTGATTATGTTTCCGTAGAATTGTGGACAGAAACTGGTTATTTAGATTATCATACCACAGTTGCATCACAGTCTTATACTAATAACACTCAGTGTATTTGAGCTCCTTTTTTTTCTTCCCACAATCTTCTTGCAGTTCCTTTTGATGCAGAATCTGATGCAGATACCACAAACTCTCCTGGTGGAGCAAGCGATGATACTCCCGTTCTCGGACGACAGGCTGAGAGAGATCACAATGGACAGATGTCAACAAGCTCAGATGGGGACTCCAGGGCAAGCAGTGAGGGAGGATTTTATAGAGTATGTTGAGTAAAGTACTGTTTTCAGGATGTTTTACAGAAATATTTACTATCGCATTTAATAAAACAATATTTGTAGAGAATGATGTTGGTGGTTTTGTAAGAGATTTATATGTTCTGTATATGAAGTATTATAAAGCACAAAAAAAAAAGACTGAAAAAAATGCAATTCTGGCTTCCAAATATTTTTTCCAATAAAATCTGAGTGTGTTAACCATTCAATTCATGGAGAAAAGTCATAATCCCTCTTAGTAATTGGTACATATATTTAATATAATTGTATTTTTATGTAATTTTCATGAGTGCATATTTTTTCAATTTACTTCTAAAGGGTTTTAAGTGTCAGAGAATGTTTGCCAGCAATTTTGACCTCAGCAGTCTTCGACGCAGCCTTGAAGAAGCCAATGAAGAAGATACAGAGTTTGCCACACCAAAGTAATTCTAGTTTATTTTGCATTGGAATATTTAATACACACAATAATTATTGGGATTTTTGACTAGACAGAGTCAGTTTGATGATACTGTATTACTCTGTGTTACTGTAACAGTTACTGAATAACCGCAGTAAATGGAATAAACTAATACAAGTGTTTGCTTTCCTTCATTCAGTAAAAGTAGTTTCAAGTTGACTGAAGTCTTATTAAAGATTTGACACATGCTTTTGAAAACAAAACCACTTCATCTAACTTCTTTGGAAAATAGTTGTTCAATTCACTTCACTTATGGATTGCAAGGCTTGATACTAATGTTACAGACAAGTTGTTCTGTAAGGCAAATAATGCCATTTTTTTACTCGCCTTACATATCCTTATATTTTTGTTGTATAACAATTTCATAATAATATTAAAAGTGTGAAACTAGTATTCATCTGTTGTCTTATATTAGGGACTTTCATAAAGCTTCCCTATTATCCTGTTCAGGTGGCAAACAGCAGAATGGTTTGAGTAAATTTTAATCATTGATTTGCTAATCTAAATCATTTACAGTTTGTGGCTGATGAATAAAGGTCTACTTTTCTAAAGTGCTCAGGTTATAGGGTTTCTTATATTTGTCTGTAATTTCGAGAAGAAAAAAAAATTTGCATTTATCACAATGTTAAATGCCAATCCAGGTAGCAAACTGATAAGAGAATGCTTTTCATGTAAAAGCTGATAATTTATAACACCAGATGGCACTGAAAATGATGCAATAATGGATTTACAAAAACAAATTTATAGCACCAGAAATGTTTAGCTTATTTTCTAATTGTTTAAGTAGCAAGATGTAAAAAATATAAATAACTATCTTATAATAGTGAACAGGCAAAAACTAAAGTAAGGAACATTCAATTTCTTACTTTTCTTTTTAGACTTGTCTAGATGAGACTTTCTATGGACACTTATTAGAATGTAGTCATGCATTTGTATATCCAACATAATATACAATCAATTAAATATGTTTCTGTTTTTCTAGCTCTTTTTAAAGGGTGGTACATAGGGTAATTTTGTAATCTAATGAGTTGAAATTTGAGTGCTCTAATATTGGCACATGTCATCTGTGACTTATTAGGTTTATGCCTCATTTCAGATCAAATTTGAAAGCAATATAAAAAATTAATCTACTCCTTTTATAATACTATTAGTCACCTCACCCCCCCAAAAAAAAGTATTACCAACAATTTAGCAAATGTGGGTTTAGTTCACAAAGTCTTGAAATATTTCATTAGAGTGAGACTAATTAAACCATGAAAAATTCTGACCCACAAAGTATTACATGAACTTAGATACAGCATTCATGCTCATAAAAGTATTTTTTCATAATGTCCAAATAAAGTTTACAAATATAGAGAGTTTAGGATTTAGCTCTTCTTCTGGAAGTTTAGGTTGACTTACCTGATAAAGTCACTAAAAACTGATCCTATACTCATCATCTTTATGTTTAGCTACTATTAAACTTGTGAAGTGAATGATGTATATGTACTGCTGTGTGATTATGATACTGACTTGGATTTATGAATTTCCTACTTTATTCTATCTAGTGACAGTAGATAAAGATTCTAATTTTTCTTTGCACTTTTGTAACTCTGTTCTTCTTCCAGACTAGTACGAGGCTTGGAAAACACCTTGTTCCACTTTGTTCATGTTGACGAGTCCGAGGGAGTACTGCTAGCTCCTACTCGGCATGCTACAAAATGGTTTCATGGCCGAGCTCATGCTGAACTTGTGAATAATTTTCATAAGTGCTGTTTGAACATCAGAAAGGTGTTTCAGCATTCTTTAAGATGCAAGGTATTGTAATTGTTTGTAAAATCTCTTGATAGTTATATAAGGTGCAACACTATTCCTTCATATGACTCTACAAGTATTAAACTTTCTTTTAAGTTACAATGTCATTTGTTGACCAGCACTTTATATGATTCTACTAGTATTAACCTTTCTTATAAGTTATGATGCTGTTTGTTGACAAGTGCTCTATGTGACTCTACAAGTATTAACATTTCTTAAGGTTATGATGCTGTTTGTTGACAAGTGCTCTTTGTGACTACAAGTATTAACATTTCTTAAGGTTATGATGCTGTTTGTTGACAAGTGCTCTATGTGACTCTACAAGTATTAACATTTCTTAAGGTTATGATGCAATTTGTTGATTCTCCTAGGTCACTTGGATTCTCCACAGCAGCATCTACCCCTCCTGAATCATAATTCTTCATTATTGAATTTTATTTTCTGAAGTAAAATCTGTATCAAAGATTAGAAATAATATCAATATCTTGTCTGATGGTTTCTTTGTTTTAATGTTTTGATATTAATTCTTTCTAGGTAGTTAAAATATGTTTCTCAGAAATGACCAAGATTTGTTCTATGCTTAGATAGCATTTACAAATGGGTTACGTTTATCCAGCCTTCGCTTTGTTTTAGGTTCTTTTTTTTTCTTTCTTAGAAATTTTTATTGTTGAAGTGTAGTTAATTACTCAAGTCTTTTACAACTAGCTGTCTCCCAGTAGGGAAGGTTTCAACCAAACTGTAAATAAGCAATATACATTTCTTCTAACCTTAATTATAAATAAAGTATGTATAAATAATGTGAAGTAACCTTAATTAACTGATCAGATACAAGTATATCTTAGAATATTAAATTCTTAATCAGCCGATTGAGGATTAGTTTCTTATGTTTTTCTTGTTCATCAAATAAAAAATGTGTTAAATTAAGTTAGTAAGCAATGCTCACTTAAGCAAAATTTGAGTCTTCTCCCCCCCCCCCTTAAATATGTAAGTCAGAATTGCTTCTGGATGTTAATATTTTGGAGATGTATAGCAGACTAGAAATTAGAAGGGGGAAAAAAAAGATAAAAATAGGAGATTTATTCTTTGTACTGTGTGATTTTAAATAATTAAATTTCACAAAAATATTTACACAGTTTTTATATTATATGTAGTATTGCTTTCTAAAATTTCCTTGTCTCATTTTGTTCAGAATTTTTTTATTATAGTAAAAATGATTTGTTCCACAAGTTAATTTTGTTTAATCCTGAATTTCTGACCCTGGCTAAAGTCCCTAAAACATGGTGATAACTTTTCACTCAATCGGGTATAGTGGTACTCATTTTTTACTTTTGATTGATGTTTTGTTTACCTTTTGGTATGAAAAAAGTCTAAAACTAGCAGAGAAACTGAAACTGATTTCAATGCAAGTTCCAAACTGGTTATCAAAATTGATCTATTTTGATGAAGATCATTTACTATTTTCAGTGTAACTTTGGATAGAAATTTAGATTTTTCAACACAAACAATAACCAGGAGTACTTGAATAATAGCAGTAACAGAGAAAATATACAAAGGGAACAATGGATGGGTTTAATTATCATTTGAATCACCATCTTCAACATCCAGGACAGCAACAGTTTTTTTTCCCTTTGAAGAGAAAGCTTTCTAGTTTTCTTTGTATTCTGGTTCTAGACATTCTCTTTACCCTCTGTACCTTGATACTTTTAGTGGATCACAAACAGTCACATCCACATTGCACTTGAAACACAATTCACTTTGTAGTTACAAGTAATAGAAGGCATAGGATCATCTTTTGATGTTTCCATTCTGTTCTATATTCATTTTATATGCTTTAAAACAGGAAATTGCATAGAAAAAGTGACCAACTTTTGTTCATGAAATGGAAATATTGGTCAAATGATGGGTAAAGAATGTTGAATAATTCTTCAATGAAAAACATTATTGAAATTTCATCTTCTCAGAATGGAAGTCTTAATCCATAGCATTTGTTCTACTATATTTGTAGTAAATTCAAAAATTTTCTGGATGTTACACATTCCTGATTTAGCACTAGTCAGGTCCTGCCTAAGTCACGGTTTTACGGTTAATAAATTACTGTGAGATATGATTTTACATATTATATTGCTTTACAAATGAGAGTTAAAAAATAATTCATTTTATATGATTGTATGATCATTTAATCAACATATCATCCAACCAGGAAATGGCCCAAAAAAAAGAGACTTGCAAGTTTGGAATCGATAAGTCACTGACTGCCGTTAAAGAGCATGGAGTACTGTTTCATTACAGACCACCAGCTAGTGATAATTCAAAGAAGGTTCAGCCCACTTTAGCTTACTGGGTTGTGGGGTAAGCATTATAACTTATTCAGTTCTATTTCCATATAAAGTTAAGTGATAATTTTTAGAAAAAAAAAGCTAGCTTATCTTGGCCACTTGCATTGTAAAGTAAGTTTCATCACTTCAAAATACCTACTTTCATGTGATTTTAATCTACAATATTGTTTCACTACAATCTACCAGCTAGTGATAGCTCAAATGAGTAAAATTTAGCATACTATATAAGAGTTAACTATTGTATTTAACTTTATCGACTTTGCATTTAGTGAAGTATGCAGAGAAAAAGTAAATTTAAACAGTAACTACAATTTTGTTATATAACCTTCTAATTACCAATTTGTTTTTGCAATACTGGTGGGGTCTAATATTTAGTGGGGTCTGGCATGGCCAGGTGGATAAGGCGCTCGACTCGCAAGCTGAGGGTCGCGGGTTCGAATCCCCGTCACACCAAAGATGCTCGCCCTTTCAGCCGTGGGGGCATTATAATGTGACGGTCAATCCCACTATTTGTTGGTAAAAGAGTAGCCCAAGAGTTGGCGGTGGGTGGTGATGACTAGCTGCCTTCCCTCTAGTCTTACACTGCTAAGTTAGGGACGGCTAGCGTAGCTAGCCCTCGTGTAGCTTTGCGTGAAATTCAAAAACAAACAAACTAATATTTAGTGATATTAAGTAATTTTGTGTTTTCGCCTGTTGTGGCACTGACTGTAAAGAACTCACAAAAAATTGGTTGAAATCCCTTATTTTCTCTATAAAATACTTGGAGGAACCTAGCAGTAATTAATTGGATTAATTGTAACATTGGTGGTATTTTTCTTCGCAGTTTTGTGTGTGTTTGATTCGTATGTTATCAGGGACCCAACAAAGTCATAGGCGTTCAAGCAGTTTCATGTATAAGTATTGTAAAAAAGTGTGTTGGCAAAGTCAATAATTATAAGTTTGAGAAAAATTACTTTTTGGGGTCTGTTTTGCAGGTCAAAATTTTGACTAAATAGTGAATTAAATACAAGTGATCGTCACATTACTCAGTTTACAAGCTTAAGTACTCAATCATTGCTAAATCATCAGAACTTTCTGATCTTATTAATTGTCATAAAGCTCAAAGTGTTTATGCTATTCATGTTTTTGATAGTCATTAATGTGTGTTTTTATTCTTCTCTGATGATCATAATCTTTATGAAATTTACTATTTTCATGTAAGTTTACTTAATGTGAGACCTGATACTTTTAACTAGTTATACTCAGTTTGTCTGAAATTTTAATGCTTTCAAGTTTGCTAGAAATGCCTATTCTACAGGGTAGTTCAGAACTTAGTTGTCCCACACCTAAATCTAAATGTGGTAACAGGTGACTTCCAATACTAAAATTTATTCATACTTTATCAGCCTTTGTGATATCCTTGTTTTTTACATATACATTAATCTAAGACAGATGACAATTAAAAAAGAATAAGTATACTATTCTAGAGCAATTAATTTTTGTAAGAATATTATTTATGAATTTGTTTTTACACGAGAATCACCTACAATATTTAGAGTAAGGGCTTCAGAACAACTAATGTTTGGACAACCAGAGGTTAATGTTTTCATCATTGAATTTTTGTAAGAATATTATTTATGAATTTATTTTTACACGAGAATCACCTACAATATTTAGAGTAAGGGCTTCAGAGTCTCGCATTATGTTGGCTATGGTGTAAGGAATGGAGAGAAAGTTGGGTGCTGCAAGTCAAACTGTCATTGTATTGTATATATCAAACAGGCTTGATAAAGTCTAATGGCTGTTTAAGCATGGGTGGATGTGATTGCCATCTGCTTTACTAGGGAAGGACATTTATGCAACAAAAATATGGTAACTCTGTACATTCCTCACAAAACCTCGTAAGATTTTGTTAAAGTTTACAAGTATTTTATACACAAAGAATGATATCATTATAATTATGTCTTTCTAATAAAAAATGTTATCTGTAGTAGTTATTTGCACTCAAACTGTTAAGATAGTTCATGTGCAAGGTGGTTTTCGTTTTAAATATAAAAATACTTTTCTTCATCTTATAGTTTTCACGTTTTATTTGCATAACCTCTAGAACCTCCTAAATGAATATTAAAAGTTTTTTTAAGGTAAATTTTTTATATTTTATTTTTTGTCTTTTCTACCATATCACTAACTCAAGCTATTATCATCAATATACAATGTAATGAAATAATTAAAATTAGGAAATATAAAAAAGTACACACCTTTTGATTTTTGTCGAATAGATGTTGTTTTGGTTAAAATCGTAATTTCTGGTCTTTTCTTTTCTTGACACAAGTCAATGGTGCCCTCGAGGCATATTACAGTGTCTCTGACAAACATGCACAACCCTTCGGCAAATATTTCATTCGCTGTGTAGTATCCTAAGCCTTGAGAACTAATGCAAAGAATGATGCATATTTTTTAAATGTTTAAGCCTTTCAATTATGCATTTTAAAACATAATTAACTAAAATATAAAAGTAAGACCTAAATACAATTTCTCTGTATTTCTAACTATAACATATTTAGGTAAGAAACAACCATATGTGCAATAGTTGATAAAACAGCCAACAATACTACAGTCAGTTACGTGTACACCATGACAATAACTGTGTGCCAATTTCAAAATAACTATTATTAGATTATAGTGTAAAATGAGCTCTTTCTAATGATTATATACAGGTGTATGTAACATCTACATGTAGGCTATAAAGCTCAAACAAATCTGTTGAAAGTAGGCGAGGCACTTGTCAGGGGTTGAAAAAATGTATTACATGTTTCAACTGCATTCATTCAGAGAACTTTAAAATATACAAATCAAAAGGTTATGTAAGCATCTTATTGTCTAAATGTACTCGACTCGTATTATTGAAGATATAGTGTGTCAAAGTAGAGAATTTTCCTAGCTCGTTGATCACTTGACAGTATGTCTGAAGTTTTAAGTAGTTTTTCAAATGTTTCTTTTGAAATAAATGAATTAAACTTAGATAACATAAAACTTCAAATCATAACATGCATTATAATATTAATTTAATTCACATACATTGATAATATAAGTGTTTAATTAAATTTGGAATATAACACACTGACTTGCACAGAAAAGGGTTTAAAGGGATACCCGTAATGAAAGGGTTAACACATCTTCTGTCATCACATATTTCAAACAGACTTCATAAAGTCTAATGGTTGTTTAACACACCTATTGTCATTACATACAGTGTCTTGCAAAAGTATTCACCCCTTACTAATAATGTGACATTTTGATGAAATACAAATAATGTAAACAATTTTTTTAATGAACTTGTTTTTATCCAAAACTCTAGTGATCAAACTTAACACAGTTATGTGTGAAGAAGGTTGAATGGCAGCAAAACCTGCAAAGAAAATATATAAATTGAAATTTGCTGATTGCATAACTATTCAGCCCCCTAAGTCAGTACTTGGTGGAAACACCCTTGACAGCAATTACTGCTGTAAGTCTTTTTTTGGATAGGTCTCTACCAGCTTTAAACAATGGAATGGTGTATGTTTTGCCCATTCTTCCTTGCAAAATTGCTCCAATTCTGACAAGTCCATTGATGGACTGCAATCTTCCAGTCTTGCCATAAATTTTCCATTTGATTCAAGTCAGAACTTTGACTGGGCCACTCCAGAACATTCACTTTACATCCTTTGTTGCAAACTCCATACAATACTTAAGATGATTCTTTTTCAGTAATGGCTTCTTTCTTGCCACTCGCCCGTACAGGCCAGCTTTGTGTGAGGACCGGGATTTTGTTGATGTATTAATACTAACTCCCATCTCAGACATGGAACTTTGCAAATCTTTCAAAGTCACTGTTGGCTTCACAGTAGCATCTCTAACCAGTTTCCTGCTTGCCCAGCTGCTTAGTTTGGAAGGACAGCCTGATCTAGGTAGTGAGTAGCTGGTAGGAAACATATTCCACTTCTTAATGATGGACTTCACCGTACTCAAAGGGATAATCAACGACTTTGAAATTTTCTTGTAACCTTCTCCTGATCTGTGCTTCTCTACTACTTTATTCCTGACTTGTTTGGAAAGCACCTTGGTCTTCATGGTTGGTTTGTCATATCACTATGTTAGATGTGGCTTGAACAGATTCATTTACTCTGAAGTCAAGTTAAACCACTTTGATTACACACAGACAGAAATCATTACACTAATTTTGTTACCTTTCAAACTAATCTTTTGCACCTGAACTGATTTAGGGTTGCCATAGCAAAGGAGTTGAATATTTGTGCAATTGAGCATATTCTAATTTTCTTTGAAAATCTAACTTACATGATATCAGCATTTTTTTAGCTTTCTCAGTTTGGAGTAGATTGTGTAGATTCTAAATATATAGTCCCATTTGATTGTGTCATGATTGCAAGCTCAGATGGCAACAAAATGTGGAAATTTTGCAGGGTGGTGAACACTGTATATTAAATAGACTTGGTAAAGTCTAATGAATGTTTAATATCCTAGAGCACTAATATGTCCATGTAAAAACTTATGAGTGAAAGTAGAGAAGCATGTAATAATATGTCAACCACACCATATCTGCTATATCCAATGCTGATGAGGCTTTGGATCTAACATCAGTTCTCGTAGTAGTCATCAAGATATTATTTATATCATCAGTTACTTGAAGAACAACTGTTGTCATATGAGCGAGAATAGGTTTGTTAACTGTAATTGTTTTTATCAGTTTTGCTTAAAACATTACATATACATCAGAGTTAAGCTTATGATTGGTATTAAAATTATTCTAATTACATATTTTAACACCAACTTGTTTATTATTACTTATTTATGAATTTTACATGAATTAACTTTACTCAACATTAAGAAGGACTGGTGAATTAGTAAGCCAGTCTTTTTTTTTTTCATCCCCCTAGAACAGGTCAGGTTTTAAGCCAACGACTATCACATATATATACTCCTTGTAGTTTTCAGTTTTATTAATATTGTTCAGTGATATGTAACCATTTAAATATGGAGTGACTCCTTAAATATTTCATACTTACTTATTATTTTTGAGACTATTCAACTCACTGAAATGAAATATGTTGGAATGCAATATGGTTTGTTCACTACATGGATGTAATAGACAAATGTAGGAGTGGGTTCAATATGGTTTGTTCACTACATGGATGTAATAGACAAATGTAGGAGTGGGTTCAGTATGGTTTGTTCACTACATGGATGTAATAGACAAATGTAGAAGTGGGTTCAATATGGTTTGTTCACTACATGGATGTAATAGACAAATGTAGGAGTGGGTTTAATATGGTTTGTTCAGTACATGGATGTAATAGACAAATGTAGGTGTGGGTTCAATATGGGTTGTTCAGTACATGGATGTAATAGACAAATGTAGGAGTGGGTTCAATATGGTTTGTTCACTACATGAATCTAATAGACAAATGTATGAGTGGGTTCAATATGGTTTGTTCACTACATGGATGTAATAGACAAATGTAGGAGTGGGTTCAATATGGTTTGTTCACTACATGGATTAAGGAAATAAAGGAAAATCACTGTGAACAAAACATCAAATTGGTTTTGAAAATATGACCTCCTTGTTGCTTTGCCAACAAATTTACAAAGTGGAACTTCCTTTTTTCTGGGTTGTCTAAGTAAGTTTGGGCATAATTGAGACAAATTAGAATTTGTGTATTTAACTCTGAACTAACAATAAATCCATGCACAGCCTAGGGCTAGAATTAACTAGGTTATAACTGACATTTGATATATGATAATATTGGTTACTTAATGGTTAGGCTTTAAAACTAATTATTGCCATATCCTTGACTATCTGAAGCTTGTCAGCTCATTAGCTTTTGATTTAGGAAGTATAATGTTTGACAAAAAAATATTTTTTGAAAACTTATAATTCTCTAGTCAGGTTCATAATTATTATCTAAGTCGTACACATTTGATTATGTAACACTGATAGAAGTAGTAATGGAAATATTCTGTTTTAAGAACAATAATCTCATTCAAATTTATAATTGTTCAAAATAATAATAGTCATGATATTTTTTCATGACATTTATATGAAAATAGCTGGAAAAAAAGATCACTTTGTTTCTTTTTTTTTACAGGCGACTTTTCTACACCCCTGAGCCAAGGGAAGTCTATGTTTGTTTCCACGATTCAGCACCACAAGATGCAGTGGAGTTGGCCTTCAGGCTTACATTTGGAATCCCCTCATAACCAATAGTTGTTGCCTATCAAAGTTCACTCTTTTTATAAAAATCAGTTTAAGACTTTTGACATTGTGTAAGCAGTACTTCATGTGATTTCATTCATTCCATCCATTTTGACAAATTCTGTATTGATTTTAATATGTATAGTCGGAATGTCATTGACCATACCAAAATTATCACAGTGTGTGTAATGTATTAAGTCTGCTGTCGACTTATACCACAGACTGATGATGTTATATTTTTATACAGCATGGTTAAGAAAGACAATATAAATTACTTGTATATAGTTAATGAACTCGGCTTTAACAATGTACACTTTTTAGAGACCTAAACATTATTTCACTAAAAATACTAAATAAAAATGTAAAGTCAGCAGTCGTTTATAATCTGTGGTCATTGAGTTCTGAGTAAAGCAGTGTTTGCTTCTGATCAAATATGTCCCTTCTAAAAGGATCTGATAGAAACTACTGAATAATTATAAAATGTTTAGGTTTTTTCAGATAGATACATTATACATAATTTCATGCAGTATTGGTATTATCAGTCATTTGTGTAAGTTTATATTCTGGAACTATTTATTAAGTTTTGTTAGTTTTTAATTTTGACATGTAGATGGATAGAAATTGAACAGGAGTAAAGCTAAGGACTTTATAAATAAAATGTTTTTTTCAGATGTTCATGATTCAGTTAGTACAGTTTTTGTACACATCAATATAGATGTGAAATCCTTGAAGTACATATTTTTTCTGAGCATTGACAGTTGTGTTTAATGTTGTAAAAGGCTCATTGACTATAAAAGAAAATTCTGATTTATTTTTTCGGTAAAAAGAATACTTCATTAAATGCCTGTATAAGTTACAAAATTCCACATTATACACTGTATGTGGATGACTCATTAAAACAGTACATGTGTGTGCTGTGACTCTTGTGTTCATTATACTTCTAAACAGTACGTATGATGCTATGGCCCTTGAGTTCAGTATATGTTTAGTATACTTTTACACAGGAGATATGACAAGAGTCATAGCACATATGTACTGTTTAAAAGTATACTGAACTGTGTGCTATGACTCTTGTGTTCAGTATACTTTTAAACAGTACATATGTGTGCTGTGACTCTTGTGTTCAGTATACTTTTAAACAGTACATATGTGTGCTATGACTCTTGTGTTCAGTATACTTTTAAACAGTACATATGTGTGCTGTGACTCTTGTGTTCAGTATACTTTTAAACAGTACATATGTGTGCTATGACTCTTGTGTTCAATATACTTTTAAACAGTACATATGTGTGCTGTGACTCTTGTGTTCAGTATACTTTTAAACAGTACATATGTGTACTGTGATTCTTGTGTTCAATATCCTTTTTTTTAGTTGCATATACAATAGATTATTAGGGATACACGCCTAGAGATTTGGCTTTTATCCATAAACTAACTCAAGGAATGCTTATAAGTTTTCTAAGATCATTTTTATAAAAAGTCCAACAGCTGAATTAAGTTCTCTATTGAAAGAGTGTTGCTCCAGAACAGTTCAAAAATAAATTAACCAAAATCCCAGTCATTAGAGTTTGGAAAATAGCTAGCTTATCAGAGCTTTTTCACAAATAATCTAATAATATCAGGTGTTTTTTTACAGAAAAACAAACCAAAAATCGAGTTTTCCTCCAGTTTTTAAAGGAAATCAATAATCCCATTTATTTGTAGCAAATGTTCCATAGAGTCCTGTGACGCTCGTACAAACGTAGCCAGCCATATGTATAGACTCGATAACATAATAAAAATTAGAAAGACTAATTAAAATAACTTATTAGCAAATCAATGTGAGAATAGTTTGAGGCCACAAAAAAAATCATAATTTATTTTTAACGTTATAAAGTTACTCATGTCCTCACTGTAAAAGATTATTTTGGTTCCATGTCCTCACTGTAAAAGGTTATTCTGGTTCCATGTCCTCACTGTAAAAGGTTATTCTGGTTCAAATTTTCGAATATTTAAAACACGCATTCAGGAATATTCGAAAAGAACGATTGATTTCATCTGTCTAGAAGCACATCTGGAACTGTAGAATTCCAGTTCACAGCAACCTGTTTACAATCACTGGTTCAGTTGATTGTTAGAGGGCGCTTAGCATAAAATAAGTTCTATTCATCGAGACTTTAAGACCAGAGCTTAACTTCAAACCTCAATATTGTTAAGACTGAAAATGTGAGTACAAATGAATTGATTCGTAAAGCTAATGCAACAAAAGCTAACATAAAATTCAATCCTAAATCAGTTTCGTGATGTAGGAAGCAACTACTGTACTTCTAATAATTGTACGGACGCCCGCTAGAGTTATTACTCTTCTTTAAAACTAGGAACTTTTATTACTTGTTTGGTTATTACTTTTTATGCTATTTGTTTTTCAGCAGTGATTTTTGTTCGCTGAACTAATTTTCAATTATTTTGTTTCTGTCATTATTATACTAGGCAAACTGTTATTTGGCCTCCTTTCAAAGTTTTATTAATCGCAAATACTGCAAGCTCTATATGGAACTTGTCAAAGTTGGATACTTCAACAATTACACTGAAATAGTCATTTACTAACTCTTAAAGTAAATCTATGTGTGTGTGTGTATATATATATGAAAATATCTAGTGAAAGATTATGTGTAATAATTTAGTTTTGTTACGAATGTTAAAATAAACATTTTAGAATTTACTAGTTCCATATTAAAATTATTAAAAATTTACATTGCAGGTAGTTCTAATAGTAGCTACTAGATGGCATGATGATCAGAGCATGGCTTTTAAAAAGGATTACCCAGTTAAAGCTATCAGAGAACTCGCTGCGATCTTTTTTTTTTAGGTTTTGTCAATGAAAATGCAGTTAGTTTCTACAAACTTTCCAGCACATAATAAATAAATCTAAAACTTCATTACTCATTCCACTTACAATGGGCTAAAAATACATAATTGTATTATTTCTTGTATCTCTAGTAAAGATAGTTATACTTGTCATAAGACGTTAATGAGTATCAGGCCTATTAGTTTTTAATTACTTTCCTTATATAGTTTCTTAGGGATTTTCAAGATATAGAAGAGTATATCTGTCATATCCATTGTTGATGACGCGTTTCGCTCAATCCAGAGCTCTAAAGGCCGGCTGGAGTACAACCAACACAGTAGTGGTCGGAAAACTATTTATAAAGAACATTTGTTACAACAACAGTTGTAATGGTGTGTATGCCTTTTAATTAACAAATATATTTAGTCTTTCTAAATGTCCTCCGGTGGGACAGCGGTAAGTTTTCCGAGTTGCAACGCCGAAGTTAGGGGTTCGATTCTACTCGCTTGATTGTGGCTTTGCTATAACAAAACACACACGCTTTCCAAATATGTTTATCTTCTGATAGCACATTCACGTTTTGGCGTTTACGATACAAATAAAATAGAAATAACCTTAATTTCGATTTTTAAAGTACAAGATACTTATTTTCTTGTTTGTACTTGTTTCTAGTCACATTGTTGTATTTAGATTATTTTATTAATTTTTATTCATCATCAGTTGATAAAACATACTTTCTTACATGAATTTTTAAGTGGCTATTTAAAAATCATTATTATTTAGAAATTATCAAATGTTCCATGTTTTGTTCGTATTTAAGTCTGCCGCACATTGTCCTGTTATTTATTTTCCGTTATTTATGAGATTTGAAAATATGCAACTTGACATAGTCTCAGAAAACTAGAACGGCACCTTAAGCAACATAGGACAAAACGGCCAGGTCAAAGATCACAAGGTCCAAACATAGCCATCCATAATATAGAACTGTTAACCAGTAGAAAAGCAGGCAATTAGCAGCACACATCACCTGCTTGTGACAGAATAACGGATTTGGCTGCTGCAGTTATAACACTCAACAGCTGATACTCCCGAATGAGTTCAGTACATTTCCTGGTTTGACCGTCAACTTTTCAATCTGTAGTTTGGCATGCTAAGCACCAGACCACGCTTAGTCCTTTCAAAAACAATGAGATGAAACAGTAATATTTAACGTGTTACCGATTTTACAACGCAAACTAATGATGAACGACACAACCACAAAAGTCACGAATAATAAAATAATTACTAGATGTTTCGGAATAAACGCATTTCTGTAGTAGGTGCAAAACAATAATTACAAATAATAACACGATTAGAAATTTTTGTATGAACATAAACTTTAGTACTGGGGATGTTGAGGCTCAAAAGGGGTAGGAGAGATGTGCAAAAATATGTACCTATATATATATGTGTATTAAAACAAGATTAACTCGACAGAAGTTATTATTTCAGACTGAAAGGTTTTATTTAATAAGAGTTTTCAATCAGAAGTTCCAGATCTTTGGTCACACAGCTAAAGTTTTTAAATCTGTTGATGAGATCGTGTGACTGTGTGTGTATGAACAACAGAGGTAAAAGGAGTTGATAAAAAGTGATCAGTTCTGTATAAAATCTTCATATGTCTTCTGGGTACGTAGTGTTCAATGGCTTTTGGTTTTACAATGTAGGTAGCTTTGCGGCTACCACACGTGTATGAGTAAATGTTCCATAGACGAAATGGGATCGGTATACAGTCCTGCAAATCGAAAAAAAAAGGTTTCATTTGATATGATGGATGAAAGATAACTCCCAATTGAATATGGAGATGGTACTTACGTAACAACTGAAGTGAGTTGTTTCTTAAGAACTAAGTTCTGTTTACCTATGTAAGGAAGGTATAAATACATGGGGCATTCAGGGCCAATAATCCGGATAGTCTAAAACGGTTAATGTACTTAAATTCGAAACACCCACAAGCAAACGTTGCACATTACAAGAGACATTGGCTTAATGTGATCAAATTAATATGAAAGGTATATTATAAAACTATTGAGGACTAGTGTAGCTCTACATATATCAATCGAATTAATCTTTTTATATATTAGTGGAATGTACCTCTCGTGCAAGGTTTGTGTGTGGGCGTTTCGAATTTAAGCAAATTAAGCCTCGTTAATTTTATTTTGTTTTTTTACATTAAGCGTTTTAGACTGTCTCCACAGGCTAAAGTTTTGATTCAAAAACTCACGAGTGGTGGCTTCCATTTTGTTTAAGGGAAGTATGGAAAGCAAATGTTATAATAAATAAGCAAGTGGTCAGGTTACGTTTACTGTGGTAAACAAAAGTTTATTGTTTTGAAGTGTATGTAGAGGCCAGTGAAGGTTTTCTTGTGCAGTGGCATTCCTAGGAATTTTATTGGGGTGGGGCCATGAGGGAGCAAGTATTTTGTGTGTGTGTGGGTGGGGGGGGGCTTTGTTTGTAGTTAAACATAAAGCTACCTAATTTTTAGTGTTATAAGTCTTCAGATTTACCGCTGAGCCATTGGGGGCAGAAAATATATAATACTTTCATTTCATTGGGAGTCACAATGTAAAGAATTTAAAAATCCTACTATAGCTGAAATAGGGGCATCTGTCGCCCTCCAACACCAACCGAATGGACACGCCCCTGTTCTTGTGGTATGTGGACCTACAAAAACATTTAGTCTTCTTATTAAACAAACTCAACCTAACTTAAATAATAACTCAACAGAAGTTGGATTAAGCTTGTTTTAATTCTTTCTCAGTAGCTAATTAGGTGCATTTATGTATCTGTCCAATTGTGTGTTTATATTCGAGTCCATTTACTAGTTTTTACGCATCTCTCTCTTTCGAGTCTCAACATTTTCACACGTTTATTGTTGAACAAACATGTCTGTTCTACATCCATGTTGTTACATGTAATTATTGTTCTGCATTACTGTATGCATTTTCTGAATACGCGAAACATCCATGAGACGTTATAAGTGTGGTAGTTATCATGTTCAAAGATCTGGGCAAAGTGTGGCGGCGGATGCTGCTGGTTGGCTGGCTCCCTCTTGTCACTAGTTCAGAAGCTATACCTGAACTCTAGAAGCCTTTCGCCTAACATTTTAGCCCACGTATACATAAGTTGCTATAAGTTAAAAGTTCAAACTCCATTCAACTCGTTTTACTTGGTGCAAGCAAATATATAAAAACCAGCATTCACGATTCTTGAATACCACGCTCGTGAATGACAGTTTTAAAACTACGGAAGTGTAGAAATACCAAAGTAAAATCAAGTTTCTCCAAACGGGGGAGCAAAAAGTCCAATCTTTTGAAGTTTTAAAGCAGATATAGCAGGATTAAACGTCTACTTGAAAGAGGTTAAAAATATATATCTTGTTGAAAACAGATTTAGTTACTTGCAGATCAGGGAATGCTATTTCAGACGAATTAATTAATTTGGATCAGGTAAATGAGAAATTTTAAATCGCAAATTATGCTAAACCTTTTTCTTAAAATCAAACTGATGGTGTAATTATAAAAACAACAACACAAAACGCAATATCAGAATATATATAAATGTTTTCCTTAAAAGTCCGTAAGGCGTAAAACCAATTTCCGTTGAACCTCTGGCTACAAAATGAGCTGCCTGATATAATCATAATAATAGTAAAAACGCTTTAGGCCCGGCATGGCCAGGTGGTTAGGACGCTCGGGTCGCGGGTTCGCATCCCCATCCCACCAAACATGCTCGCCCTTTTAGTCGTGGGGGCGTTATAACGGTACTGTCAATCCCAATATTCGTTGGTAAAAGAGTAGCCCAAGAGTTGGCGGTGGGTGTTGATGACTAGCTGCCTTCCCTCTCGTCTTTCACTAGGGACGGCTAGCGCAGATAGCACTCGTGTAGCTTTGCGCGAAATTCAACCAAACAAACCGTTTTCTAAATAGTTAGTTGGCAAAAATTCTGCGTGTGTGTGTGTGTTTATAACTAGCAAACCACTGTACCTATTATCACCAAATCTGGCATGTACCCTTAAGGATCTGCTTCCCCATGTCACCCCTAGGGGCTCCTATGTCTTCTCCGTGTATTGAAAGAGTAGGTCAGCTAATTTTTGCTAAATCCACTTTCTCTCCCCGTAAATAACGCTGAAGAGTTCTGTTCTTAACTGTTACATGTCATTTGATTCATTTATTTTTTTTCAAAATCTACTACAAATAGAAGTATTTATAAACTGTGGGAACACATCAAATAATAAACATATTTAATGGATAATTACATTGTCGGTTTTTATGTGTTAAAACGTTTTAGGTGCTGTTCTGTGAACACTCCTCATCAAAACAATGAAGCACAAGGATGTTGTAATATCCCTATTTTTTACCTATTTTGGTGTATTAAACTATGGCGAAAGTCTGGGGTTTTATTTACACCAAACCGTCATTCAGACCACCCAGCACTTGATTAACAAACTTCCTAATTATTCTAGCTGCTCTCTTGAGAAATAAATCATTTCAGATGGATTTCATTCCGTTAACCAGATTTTTTTATGTTTCATTAAACTGATTAAAATATTGTCTTTACGTGCAATCGTTTCTGTTTTTTAATGGTATGCCTATTTCACCCAGAAGAACACTCACGCTTCTTAATGGCTGGATACGAACATAGATTTGGAGAAAGGTTTGTTTGTTGTTATGAATTCCACACAAAGCTACACGAGGGCTATCTGCGCTAGCCGTCCCTAATTTAGCAGTGTAAGACTAGAGGGAAGACGGCTAGTCATCACCACCCACCGCCAAATCTGGGGCTACGTTTTTACTAACAAATGGTGGGATTGACCGTCAAATAATAACGCCCCCACGGCTGAAAGTGCGAGCATGTTTGGTGTGATGGAGGATTCGAACCCGCACATTGCAAGTCGAGCGCCCTAACTACATGGCCATGCCAAAAGAAATGCTGTGTATGGTTGATAAGCATGCATTGACTTTCATCGGATACACAGATATCCACTTTGCACTACACTTTATTCATGATCGGTCAGCTGCTTGTTTAAGTAAAAAAAAAAACTCTTACAAGGGCACATGAACACATCGAATTTGTACTACACATTACTCTTGACCATGATCATTGTTTAGGTAAAAAAAGAAACAACAACTGTTTCGAATTTATTATAATATTCTACGTACAATATTTTTCAAAATTTTTGTCCAGAATATTATTATCTTTAAAACTGAAATCTTCACTAATTATGATTTTAGCTTATAGTAGTCTCAAGGCGTTTATAATTTTTAAAAATTAATAATATGTAAGTTAGTAGCGTTGTTCATGTACTTCACAACTTCTGTTTGTAGTGTGGTGTAGCTTTGATGATGTACTTCACAACTTCTGTTTGTAGTGTGGTGTAGCTTTAATGATGTACTTCATCACTTTCTTTGTAGTGAAGTGAAGCTCTGATGATGTACTTTACAACTTCTGTTTGTATAACGGTGTAGCTTTGATGATGTACTTCAAAACTTCTGTTCGTAGTGCGGCTTTCAATTTTAACTTTTGTTTTTACAATTTCTATCTTAATTCTTTGTGTCAAGATACATATTATTACAGCTTGCCGGCGACCTATACCAGTCTACCGAAGTGCATATGTTACGCTTACGCTTCAAACTGTGTGTGTGTGAAAATAAAAAAGACACTTGTTTTTTGTAGGATCATCATTTATTTAGCCAAAAATAACCTGATAAGTTATAACCAATGTTTTATCTTTGTGAAGAAAGGGACTTGATAACTAACGTAAGATAGTATATATATATATATATATACCTACTTACTTTCCAAAACAGAAGCGCAAAAACAAAGAAATATATATATATATATATTTAATCTAAAGAAATTGGAAACTTCGACGACAGGTCTTACACAAAAATTCACATAATATTTAAATTATATATATATCTATATATATATACACTTGCATTTATAGAAGAACAGAATTCAACCGACAACATCATGGTACATATAATTGTTGGAAAGAATTAAACCATTTTTAAACAAGCCTACCAGACACAAAAGGCTTACTATATATCTATATACAAGGCATGATAACATGAAACTAAAGGTCAGGTTGGGATGTATATAAATTTAAAAATATTGACAATCATTATTAAAGGCACCCAAAATGTGGGATGGAGATTCGTAGTTTAATTCTGACATTAAAAGTCTCCCGACATATATAGATATAGAGGAAGAGATAGTCTAAAACTGTGCTTGTGTTAAAAACTCTAGACAATGAGATCACCGACGATACTGCTTTTTTCTTTCTCTTTAAAGCAAGTCCTGCAGTTCCACTTTGAACTGAGTTAATTTCCACGTTCTAAACTAGACTCAGATATACGTGATAACGTATTTATAGTTAAATATATTAAAAGTCCAGTACGCGCTGTTTATGAGAATAAAGCGAACCATCCAGTGAAAATGTGGATAAACCGAACGACTATGTAATATAGAAATTATCATAATACACATAGTAACAAAACACCTACATTCAACCAATTATATTTATTTTTAGCTACGTTCTGGGCAATCTAGTTTGTTGGGCTGGATTACTCATTGATTCTGGCGTTAGCTATACTAAAAACAATAACATTTCGAACAACTCGAGAGGCGTCCTCTCCTCGCCATACAGTGACTTAGACGTTGGTTTTTATTCTACTACTCTGTTTAATCTGAATATATTCACCAGAATAAGGTGACTCGTTTGATGCACAAGTGTTTGCCTCTCATAGCCTTGCCTTATATTTTTTTCCTACTTTGTTAGTCTGTACATAACCACCAGAATAAAGTGAACTCATTCGATGTGCAAATGTTTGCCTCTCATAGCCTTGCCTTATATTTTTCCTACTTTGTTAGTCTGTACATAACCACCAGAATAAGGTGAACTCGTTCGATGTGCAAGTATTTGTTTGTAACTGCCTTCCCCATTATTTTTCCTACTTTGTTAGTCTGTACATAACCACCAGAATAAGGTGAACTCGTTCGATGTGCAAGTATTTGTTTCTAACTGCCTTCCCCATTATTTTTCCTACTTTGTTAATCTGTACATAACCACCAGAATAAAGTGAACTCATTCGATGTGCAAGTGTTTGCCTCTCACAGCCTTGCCTTATATTTTTCCTACTTTGTTAGTCTGTACATAACCACCAGAATAAGGTGATCTCATTCGATGTGCAAGTATTTGTTTCTAACTGCCTTGTCCTATTTTTCCTTTCCAGTTTTTTGGGCTGGATTATACAGATTTACAAATTGATTCTGGCGTCAGTTATACTAAAAACAATGACATTTCCCACAACTCAAGAGGCGATCCTCTCCTCGTCATACCAGCAGACACGAGTTCCATTATGCTGTTGAACCTTATTCACGATCAGAGGGTCAAACATATACTTAAAGCTGACTTTTCCCAAACTAAGTTCTGAATTAGTCTTTACTATGATTTATTTGTTCACTTATATAAATATGAATTACATAATAACGATAAAAGTTTCTGAAACGTTTCGGTTGCACGTGACAGTTAAATTTTCTTAAAGTTTAATAACGAAAATATGTTAAAAATAAGATGAAAAAAGCATTCTTGTGAAACAGTGATACAAACCAGTATCCAGAATTACTCGATAGGGGGGGGGGTCTAAATCAGATGATTAAATTTACCTAGTACAGGTACTATTGAAACAAAATGTTTTGTTGCAGAATTACACTGAATTATTATTACTATTTCCACACGTATTTCAGCATTGTTTTGCTTTAAGAAATAATAATATAATGAATTTCATAGATTATGTGTTGCTTCGAGAGTGGCATAAGTTAATTATTTGTGAGACACAGGTCAAAATATGGCGTGTGCAATTTTGTGACGCTTACAAATTCTAAAATTCGTATTTAATTTGCGAAAGGTCCCTAAGCTTTAAATGTCATATTACCGTGATACAATATCTCTTTTTTCAAACGACTGATAGGCTGTACAAGTGTATTTAATATTTCCAAATTGAATGATCGTATTATGTAGGCCGCTGAAATATTACAATATCGCCAATCCCAGGCATATAGATTAAGACTGACAAAAACCACTAGATAAAAGTATCACCAATATAAATGTTTCGATTTGTTTTTGCCCTAAAAGGATAAATCCTGGCAAGATCCCACTCCAACCGGAGAAAGGTAGTGTAATATGTGGGTATCTTGAAAGTTTCAAACAATGTGTTTCTCTAATAAAATATGTTTCATTTTGTGAGTTTATTACATAATTTAGAGATTACAATAAGATGGTGTTATTCTGGAAAACTGATCAGAGTTGTACGCCAAGATTCTGATAAATCCAAAAGCTTCTTGACTTAAAATTTCTAAAACCTACTCCCTAACGTGTGAACTAATTTCAAGAGGTTTCCAGGCAGAGTTTGGATGAATTTTGGTCATTTCTTCAAAGATACATCTTACTATTACCTATCAATCTGCAAATTTAAGGATAATAACGTTGTTTAAAATCGTTGCTCAAAATATTCAACTATCCTTCGTATGAATTATTTGTATTATGATAGCCTGTAAATGTATGAAATTAATATGAAAATCCTTTATACTGAGATTTTACATAAACATATAAACACTTATATGCTGTGGAAATAATGCTTCTTAAACAACTCGATGAAAGAATCATTTTTTTTAAATTGTATTCAATAACATCGTAATTTTTAAGAAACAAATATTAAATTGCGAAAAAAATTTTTTATGAGCATTTATACTCGATAAGAACTGAATTTATGCGTTTTAACGCCAGGTTCTCTGTATTATTATATACCATGGGAATGGTGCGCCATTTTAAAATTTCTGTAAACCAATCACTGCGGTATAAAAAGAAATATCGAAGTAACTTTTTGATAAGATTAAATGAGGTTAGTTAATTGTGTAAATGTAGCTGTATAGTAACTCTACGTGTTGTAACCAAAGCACAAATGAAAACAATATTGCTATTGGACAGTAACGTTTAATTTATGAAAATATTATGAATATTGAAGAAAGAAAGAAACCACAGCCAGCTTCTCTTACCACTTTGTATGATTGGTTCTACTTATATCGACATACACACGAACAGCATTACTGGGAAAATACCTTGGTTGTAGTAAATTTAATCGTCCCATTTGTTTTCTCTCTAAGATATATTTTTAATTGAACTGTTTGCATTTAATCACAAAAATAACACGCGAGACAAAAGAAAACTATCAGAAAAGAATATGGAACATTAATTCTATTGCACATATACATGGAGCACAAATTATCGAAACAGATTCTTGAATTTATTATGCCTTCATCACATTCACACAGTGAGTCACGTGACTGTTTCTATGGCGATTTTTTTTTGTGAAATTAAGTAGGATAAGTTTGTAGGAATTTAAATTTTAAAACTATAATAATTATTTAACTATATACGCATGTTACGACTTCAGAAAGTTTATTCTTTTTGTATTAAAAATATATGTTTGTTCAGTATTATCCATTTGACTTTTATCTTATGAGATTAACAAACAAATGTAACGACAATGCAGTTAAAATCTTAAAGCATACAACCGTTTAAAATGCTTAAAAAAAGTAAACCGTGTTTTGGCAAAGTAATCGTCATTATGATTCATCTTCATATAAAAACTTATTAAGGATAATGTAAATATATTGTTACTTGGGTCCTCCCCAAAGTCCGAAAAATAATTATTATTGATTGTAATGTAAACATCATGAATACAGTTACTGAATAATTTACTTCAACAAGTTCCTGGAACTCTCAGTCCATGAAGAATAAAAATATAATAATCTGTTAAAACTCTTCTTCAACATAAGAACCTCTTAACCATGGTTACAGTGCCATACCAATAGATGGCACTGTCTTTAAAAAAAAATGCCTCTTTTATTTTATTTCTTTACTTTAGAATGTTTTTTTACAATCTTTTAACTGGGAAAATAAGACGAGGGGTTCGCAATTCTAATAATATATCCTTAACTAATGGAGTTTAGAGTAGAAAATCAAACACACGTTATTTATGAATAATAAAAAAACTGAGTTTCTTGTCAAAAACAATTCTACGGCCTGAATGTGCATATGTTGGCATATCTACTTAACCTGTAACTAACTGTACTTGTTAATTAATGACCGGCAGGCTTGAGGATGAGAGTATATGCAATACTAGTTTGATTTATTACAGCTTATTCCTGTAAGTTTTAATATAATGACCGTCTTTTTTATACGACTAGAAAATTTAGTGTTTTATTTTTAATGAGAAAGCTATTAAAGGATAAGGGGAGATGACGCTGCTTACATAAAAACTCATAATGTCTTCTAAAACGGACCATCTCATAAATCTTAGAGCATATATTTTTAGAATGCATATAGTTATTTCCATCATAAGATAATCAACTACTTTTACAGAGTATCAGTAAGATACAATTTATGCACATCAACTTAAAATAATCAAGTTTACGGTGACCAAATATATATATTTCTCGTGAGTATAAACTTCTTCGAATTCATCTTTTCTTTTTTAACGCTTTACTCAAATAAGTTTCTTTTTTTAATCTTCAGGAGATCCGTGACTAGCGTAGGCAGATGAAAACTTAAGTGAGGGGAAAAAAAAATAATGTCAATGAAACTGCCGCATCAGTCCTAATGTGAGACCTGTGCTTTAAAAATCCAACTTGTTGTCTTTTTTTCATTACTATTATAAATGTTGATTTTCTTCAATGTTTTCAGTATTTCATCTAAAATACGAAACTAGTTTCTGAACTTAAAACTTTCCAGCTGGGCCGGCGATAGCTGACGTCTTAGGCAAAAAATAAGTTTTAGCCCCTACTCACACCGAAACCCCGAGTATTTGGCGCCCTAGGCTGCCTATCCTTAACGTCAGGACTGATTTCAGATACATTTTATTCACAATGTATCCTAGAGTAATTTCTAAATATCTTAACAACCCTCGATACTCCAAAAAAATAACGACTTGACAAAAGTTTATAATAATAGTTGCGACTTATTTCTTGTCCTTGCCCCCCTCCCCCCCCAAAAAAAAGAGAGTAATAAAACACATTATACGTTTTGGGGCGATATTTTTATGATATGGTAGTAACACAACCAGTATAACAGTTGCGACTTATTTCTTGTCCTTACCAAAACAAAAATTGTAAAATGAGGGATAAAACACATTATACGTTCTGGGGCGATATTTTTATGATATGGTAGAAACACAACCAGGATAACAGTTCACAAATTAGACATACAATACTGGTTCTTAAGGTAGCATAGAGCTACTGTTATTAAAAAAAATGTTAGTTTAGAAGTATCGGCTGAAAATGTTTTTACTTTCAACAGTGTCACGTGCACTGAAATCTTTTCTTTTTTCTCTCTCACGAACTACAGCACGAGGATTACAGAGTTGTTGTTTTCAGTTTTTTTTTTCGTCCTCAAAAATAACTGACCTTTCACTGACTCTACAGAAAACTTTACGAAATCTGAAATTGTCATCACTCATTCATGAAAATCTTGGGTGAATTTTAGTTTTTACTACCTACTGCTTCTATCATAGATAGAGCAGAGCGCTAGAAACGAATCATTCAATGAAGAGTACTTGGCACAAATACAACCAAGGCACAACTTCCCTGTGGTTACAGTCTATACCTGCCACAACAGTAAGTGATTGGTGCTGTCGTCACGTCCCGCCGTTTCGCTAAGCCCTGAGTGACAGAAGTCTTCGTAGCCATCACCCCCACTGATCACAAGTAGGCGACACCCTGTGGAAGTGGTGGAAGACATTCGACGAGCAGCTGCACCCTCCTTGCCGCGAATTGAGCGGTGCGTGTATTTGGCACATCCCGAGGCATCCATTGTAGCACCTGGCGTCATCTCGACGCAAGTCAAGAAACGCACGTGGCCAGTGTGCCCGTGGGGAACCCCTGGTGGAAAAAAAAAAAACGATATACTAGAACGCCATTATTAAAAGACATTTGTCCAAAAATTACAAAACCAAGTTATCAATTCCAAACGAATTACATTTGTATTCTGACTTCTAGCACCAACTTTATATAAAAAAATTTAAAGTATATACAAAAAACGACGGATTATGTATGAAATAGTGGTATACTTAATTAAGAAATGACAAAACGACATAACAGGGCAAAAAAGAGGAAGTATATATATCTATATCTAAACACTAGGCAACAGTGTAACGTGTAATACACAGCCTTTAACATTTATAACGGAACGTTACACACAACTACTAAATATCTCCCGGAAGGACAACGGTAAGTTTATAGACTACAATGCTAAAATCCGGGGTTCGATTCCCCACGGTGGTAAAAATAGAATTTGCTTTCAAACTCATCAGTTTCTCTCTCTTCATTATATACGAAAACTTCAAGATTAACTCTTAATTGGGTAAAATATTTGCATCATAAGTGGTAGTGTGGGTCAAAATGTGTAATAAACTTCAGAAATATTATCTTTATAATACGGTGGGGTGGCCGAATGACCCATAAACGATTACAACAATAAGAAAGAGAACTGAAAGAGCACATCCGTTCTGCTCAACACTCAAGAACTGATTGAGCCGAGTCGGAATATCGACTTGAAAAATCGGCGTGGGTCATCCTGACCCCACCATACCAAATGAGGGTTAAAGCAGCTCGAGACCTGTTTCTTCCGCCACCACAGTGAAAACTCGTTCGAAATGTGACTTGCTTTTCTATTTTGTTTATCAATAGAAACATGAGACGACGTCGAAGAATGTGAAATACAAATTACAAATTATTTTTCACGCAACGTTTTCGATTTCTATTAGCCAAATATTCGAAAGAGCCTGTCTGTTCGATTCGTTAAATCACGACATTTTAATCTAGTGGTGGAATGAATTCTTTATTATGCTTTATATCGAGTGTAAGGTCTCTTTTTTATTATGTTAAATTAATAGCTGATAATTTCATGATGTCACAAAAACTCTTAGATTCAAAAAGCCTTGATACAAAATGATAGACACCCTATAACCCGAACGCTTTCGAAAGTTTGGTCCCTGAAGAAAAATGGTCTACTTTTTAAAAGCGCTCGGGTTATAGGGTTTTTATCGTTTAATAGCTGACAATATGTTGCGATTTTCTACGTAATTTATAACGATTATAACTTAATTTAATTATTTTTAAAAAAATTACGAGAAAACAGTTTTAAATATCCACCCCCTTAAAAAACAAACAAAAAAAAACCTCAATGCATAAAGGTTTTTAACTGAGACCTGTTAGTTAGTTGCTACTAGCAATGGGAAATAGTTAAAAATCTTTAATTTTTCGTTACCAGAAACGTTTGGAACGTTATCTAGCCGTGAGGTAGATGAAGTAAGATGTGGAAGAGGTAGAGACAGAATAACTCCTGCACTCGTCCCCACCCACAGGAGGTCTTTGCAAGCTAACAATGCTGTCACTCGAAGACAAGCTGCCTTGTGCTGACGTATGATGTCGTCACAACCTAACAAAAATAAGTGGAACAAAGCTTAAACACTTAGCATCAAACAAACCTCCAAAACATTCGGGTTTGACCCGAGATTTATGATCCAGCATACTGTACATACCATTGTAAGATTTTAATCGTGAAGCTAAATTCAAGAATACCATGGTAACCTTCAGCTTAATAATAAATAATATTCGCATTGCAAGTAAAAATATAATTCACTAAATCACAAGTGATGGTTGTACAGCTCCTTCTGCTACTGGCTGTAGAGTTGGCTAAAGAATACGTCCCTGCCTACACTGCTGCTACTGGCTGCGGTGTTGGCTACAGAACACGTCACTAGATACACTGCTGCTACTGGCTGTGGTGTTGACTACAGAATCGCGTCACTAGCTACACTGCTGCTACTGACTGTGGTGTTGACTACAGAATCGCGTCACTAGATACACTGCTGCTACTGACTGTGGTGTTGGCTACAGAACACGTCCCCAGCTATACTGCTGCTACTGGCTGTGGTGTTGGCTACAGAACACGCCCCTATTTACACTGCTGTTACTGACTGTGGTGTTGGCTACAGAACACGTCCCCAGCTATACTGCTGCTACTGGCTGTGGTGTTGGCTACAGAACACGTCACTAGCTATACTGCTGCTACTGGCTGTGGTGTTGGCTACAGAACACGTCACTAGCTATACTGCTGCTACTGGCTGTGGTGTTGGCTACAGAATCGCTCACTAGCTATACTGCTGCTACTGGCTGTGGTGTTGGCTACAGAATCGCGTCACTAGCTACACTGCTGCTACTGGCTGGGGGGGTGGGCT